GACACCCTTATTAAGGGGGATAGCGTAAGAGGTAGAGAGACCTAATCTTATCTCTGGAGGAGATGGAAGTGAGGAATGGGATCTCCTCCGCAGCAGTCAGTGACAGACTGGCCTCGTCCAGTTGCCCACTCTCATCCTCTCCAGCCATCTTCTTCTTCTTTTGCACCTTCTTCTTCTTCCTCCTCCTCACCCTCTCCCTCTCCTCCCCAGACCTCACCAGATACAGCTCCAGGAGCCGCCCACTCTGACAGAGACACGCGTACATAGTTACCAGACATTAACCCTCTCCTCACCAGGCAGCCCAGGAGTCTCCCCGAGCCCCCAGACGTCAGTTGAGTCACTCTCTCTCTCCCCTGTCTACTGAGAGACCCCATCACCTCACACAAAACCTGACTCTGCAGTCAGATACACAACCATCCAATCCAAACACCAGTGGGACATCATGGGTGAGGTGTCCTTATTTCAGGGGTTGAATTGCATGCAAGAACTGTTCTTGGGGAAACAAAAGGTGTATTTAGAGAGGGGTTCCACTCTATTACACAAAGTCTGCTTCTATCATCCACTTACCATTGACTGATTGTCGCTCATCTCACCATCTTTTCTTTTGCCTCCCACACTTCCTCCCTCCCCCTCTCCCCCCTCTTCCTCCTCTCCCTCCTCTCTCAATATTCTAAATACCAACAGTTCTCTGTCACTGGATGCACTCACTAGTCTGGTCTCCATGGCAACCACTTCAATCCCCCATACCTGACAACATGAGTGGAAAATTTTGCTTGTGCTCGTCAATGATGTAATGATTACCTCACTCTTGTGGTTAACGAGGGTCAGGAAACAGTGCTGTGTTTCAAGGTCCCAGAATTTCACAAGACAATCCTTCGAACTGGTGATCAGTGTGTTGCCATGGTGAAGCCATCGGCATCCAGTAATCGGTCCCTTGTGCCCTCTCAGTCGGAACAGACCACGCCCACCAATTACGTCCCACACAACCACAGTAGTGTCCTGTACATCGACACCAGTCACATGACATCAGGTGATGCATGTGGGTGTGGTCTGGCTGACCTTTGACCCCGAGACCAATCCGGTACCAGAATCATCAAACAGTAGACATGTGACGGCTGATTTGTGACCACTGGAGGAGAAGATAAGGAGTCCTGTGACGGTTTGAGTGTGCCGTTTGCCTTGCGACCTGATCGCTGGTTTACTGACTACATGCTTGCAGTACACAACCGCTCCTATAAGTATCTGCATGACTAACTATCAACAGAGTAACTGTGTGTAGTTTGGGAAGGAACGTAAGGTGAAGGAAAGGCAAACCAAACATCCAGAATCGTTTGCCCATTACCAGAGACAAAGTCACTCAAGAGTTACAAGGAAAAATGGGCAACATCTCATACTCGACACCAACTGTTCATGTGTACATGTACTCACGTACCTGAAGGAGAGAGTTGCCTCTCCTAAAGAGGTGCTCCAGACTCGAATGGTGCCGTCCTCGCAGCCAGCAGCCACCAAACCTCCGTCTCTGCTCCCGCAAACACACGACACCTCCTGCTTCGTCCCTCCCTTCAGAACTGCAGTCTGCACCGAACAAGGAAAAAAGAAGATAATTCAGTCCTAAAAGGCTAAAAAATTTGTGAAAGCTAAAGAGCAATCCTCATATCTTCAATTTTAAAGGAAAAAGCTATAGCAAAATGGCTTACTTTCTCTCCTTTTCTCAGATCCCATATAATAAGGTCCTCAGCAGCAGGCGCGACGACCAGCGCGCGCCGCTTGTCTTCCCCGCTGGCGACCGGCTGGAGAAGAACGTTGGCTTTCCTCCACAGACGACGCCAAACGTCTCCGAGTGCTCGTAGCGGAGGTACTGCTTCGTTACCGGCATCTTGCTATATACCGTACAACACGTGGGTCAGGCTTTGATACTACCGTAATCTTCCAGTATCCGGAGACTAGTGGGCGTGCCCGACGCGTGGGAAGTTGTTTTTGAGGAGAGAAGATCGAAGAGAGGGAAAATGGTGCAGCCCATCCGCGTCATGAACATGCTGGTGACGTTTCTACTCATCGCCATCTTTGCTGCGGCTGGAGTCATGAAACTGACGCCCATCATAAGCCCCGAGGTCCACAATGAGTTGGTGCGCTCTAATTAGAATCCGTACCTACCCTCATTGACCTCTCTCTCCGTTCCTCTACAGAAAGGAAACTTTGGTAGATTTGTGGCAGTACCTCCGATGAACATTCTCCAACTCGGCCCAGACGTGTACCGTACTCTGGTGGGTGTGGTGGAGCTGGCGTGTGTCGCCTGTCTCGCCTGTCCACACAGTAAGATACAACTGGTGGGGCACTACGCTCTACTGCTAGTGATGCTGGGGCCATATGGACACACTTCTTCCTCAAAGACACAGTCGACAAGATGATTCCGGCCATTAGCTGCCTTGGTTTGCTTCTCCTACGGCTCTATACCAGTGGCAAGGTCTCTGTGAAGGTCAAGACGAAGTAGAAACTGTTTGAATGTTAGAACTTGATTAGGAAAAGTACGCTGATCTAATAACAACAAATAACAACACACATGAACATGAATATTTGGTAGGTGCTGGTCATGTGATGTCATGTGATCAGTTCTGAGTCGTGGGCTCCTGTGAGTGCATGTCTAGCATCTCCTGAAGCTCCGCCTCCCAGGCCTCTGTGTCCACTTCCTCCCCTCCTCCCCCTTCCCCCTCACCACCCACACCCTGCACAGTGGCAATTTGTAGAACATTTTTCTTCCTCAATGTTATCCGTGGCATTATATATACCTCATGTAGATCTAAGTCCTGCAGCTCTTGTTGCAGCTGCTCCTCCCACACAGAGCTGTCTCCCTCCCTCCCTCCTCCTCTTTCTTCTTTTCCTCTTCCCCACTTCCCACTCCAAGCTGACCCAGCTCTGCCTGAATAATACACCAGGGATAACAAAAATATTATTAACCCTCGGCGCGCATGCGCAGCGAGTACTTGGTTTGTGTGTCTGTGTCCGTTCACGTTTTCTGCCACTAGACGCAACAAGATCGCCAAAACTCTACAGCAACCGGCGCTACATTTGCTTCATTTAAAACAGGCGATTTTCAAAAACACATCGTTCAAAAGTTATGGCAAGTGAACAAGCAAATTAGCACGGGCTCACCTCGACAAGATGTGCGTACCTTGGAGACACAAGACGTCACAACGAAGGGCGTGTATCGACTCCCGCATGCTATCTACTACTGTAGCTAGCCCGTGTCAGACTCTCCGTAGCGGGAGACCGCGAGTAAACGCGCAAACTACTACGGCCCAGCCCATCGCGCAAGCGCAGTTCGCCGAGGGTTTGCACTTCAGTGCATGCTATTTACACTGTTCCCATTCAAGTAATGGGTGGTGGTCTGATGGATAAGCACCCCTCTCTTGATCGTGAGGTCCCTGGTTCGATCCCGGGTGTGTACGCCTTTTTTACAATGATGTAATAAGGAGTGTTGGTATATTATTATGGAACGTTTTTTTCATTTTTTTGCACTAAACAATCCACGGGTAATACGAAAATTAATAGAGAGATGAAAGGTTGGCAATTTTTCAACCTTATACATTTTTTGGGCCTCAAACAGAAATAGGGCTGGCCATTTTTCCATGGAAATGGTGCATAACATGCTGTTCTTTTGATGCTCAAGACCATCAATTGTGGTGGTGCCACACTTGTGTATGGGTTCCACATTTCTATTATAGGTGTAGTGTGCCGAGGGTTTGCACTTTAGTGCTTTTCATTATAGTGGTAAGCTATTTCGCAATTGTGCAATACAAATGGAGCTTGCCAACAAATCTAGTTGAGTAATGTCACAAATGGCCTAAAGCCATGAATTATTTGCCCCTGCAATAAACTCAGAAAGCGTTCTCACTCGTCTCTCTTTCCTCTCACCTGCACTGTTTCTCTGCTGATCTCAGTGGTGAGTGTTGGTAGAGCATCACTGGCAAACTCCTCGTGACCCGGAGACTAGTCATGTGACGATCACATGATGTCACGTGACCTTAGAAAAAGAGTAGATACCTACCTGCACCACCTCCACCACTTCCCCAGACTCCCCACCTTCACCAGCCTCACCAGTTACAACGTGATCCCCATCTGCACAATACACACTCCCTGTTTTATCAGTTACCACGGTGATAAATATCACCTCCTTCAGTTCGATCTGAAGACACACTGTCTTTCTTATCTATCAGTTGAGGGGGAAAACCCTGTCAATTAACCCACTAATTAACCCAAAACCACACCCACCATTAGCGAGAGAAGAAAGTTGTGATGACTGTTTTATGAGAAAGACACGATAGAAAAAATTGTGCCAAAACTTTTCCTCTGATACCCTAAATATTGTGGGGCAGACCCTGTAATTATCCAATGACAATATGGAACTCACTTCTTTGGAACGAGATCAAATCTTAGTTTCTGTAGTCGCGCGTCCTCCTTCAGCATCGCCATGGCAACGGGGTAGGATTTGGCAAAGTCAAAGTTGAACTGGATGCCAGGCGGAGGATTGCGCAACACATTACGACTGTCCTGAGATACGGGGGCAAAGTGCGATAGGGGAAGAGAGAGAAAGATTGTACACTTCTACTCTTACAAGGGGGAGAGAGAAAGAGAGAGGAAGGTGAGAGAGGTGAGTGTTCTCACAGCAGATAGCTCCAGTATCTGGGCCTTCATCTGCTCCTCCTCATTGTAGCCCACCCAGGGAGGAACCGCCGCGTCCTTTAACCTCCGCTGCTCCCTGGAAAACTTCTCCTGCTCATCCTGAAACTGGTTCACGAATGACATGGGCTGGGGGGAGGGGAGGGATTGAACACCCTGGAGATCACAGGTGTAGATATGTCAGACTCACTGTTTCCTGTACTCTGCTCTTGACAGTCTCTCCCATTGTCGCAGCATACTCTGACACGTTCTTCACTAGACCTACACTTACTTCATGAACACTTGTGTACATAGAGATATGGCTTGCCCTCTAGTCCGGCAACCCAGGACGAGTCCTTCTTCTCCTTCTCTTCCTCCTCACTCTCCTCCTTCTCCTTCTTCTCGCTCTCCTCCTCAGCCGCCTTCCCTGACCACCACGAACCCAGCAAACCAGCCATGGTGTTTACTGCGTTCTAAGTCTTCCACTCTAATAAACGCGCACCTGGGTAAGGTCGAAGGTGCCACGCTCTAATGCACAAGTAGCCATGGCAGAGAAAGAGACCAACCAGGGAGGCGAGGAGGGAGATAGAGGAGAGCTAGTAGACTCGGTTGGACGCTCAAAGTCGGGTTCTGCCTCCCCCACGGCCGAGGAGAAGCCGCGCTTCCCCGAGCTCGCGGTGTCTGGCGAAACTACCGCAGGAGAGAGAGGAGAGACGGGTGTCGCTGGGGGAGAGGCGGCGGAGGGAGAGGAGAAAGCGAGGGACAGCGAGAAGAAGAGGAGGAGGAAGAACGATGGCGGAACTTCGGACTCCAGTGGCAAGAAAAGTAAGTCCAACCTTCTCCCTGGTCATGTTCGACTTTTTTCTCCTGTGTGTGTGAGTTCAGGATTCAATCTGCGAGAGGAGATGAGTGAGGTGAAGACGGTGCTGGAGGGGGAGGGAGAGGACGGGACCAAGTGCAACATCCTCCATCGCCGCTACCAGTCCCTAGTCAGGGAGTACAAGAGACTGGAGAGACGACTTGTTGAATGTCAGAAGAAACAACTTGAGGTCTTTCTCCATTCCCCCTCTCTCTCCACTTTCACCGTGTCCTGATTCCATTCCAGGTGGCGCAGCATCGAGACATCATTCAGAACGAGTATGCGAGAGCCAACCTAGCCCGGAGCAAGCTGGAGAACCTCTGTAGAGAACTCCAGAAACACAGCAAACAAGTGGCCGTGAGTTACTACTGCCCCCCGGGGGTTTAATTTCTGGCCCCCAGCAGAGGTTCCCTCGCTGCAGGAGGAGAGTCGGCAGAGAGCGAGGGAGGAAGAGGAGAGGAGGAGAGAGGTGTCTGGGAAATTTCAGACGACCATCAACGAGATCACGATGAAGATGCAGGAGCATCATCAGAGGAACCAGTCACTGCAGCATGAGAACATAGAGTGAGTTCTCGTCTCTCCAGTTACGCTGGGTATTATAGTGAAGATGATTTCTCACAGGCTGGCAAGCAAATTGAAACAACTTGCAGAACAGTACGACTCTAGAGAGGAGGTGAGGAAAGAAACATCTTTTGAAGTTGTGTGAAATTGGCACAATACACTAGCTGTCTGAGTTAATGTTTTCTGCTACCTCCCTCCCCGCTACCCCTGCCTGTCCCCAGCAATTTGAGAAGATCTTGCACCAGAGGCATCTGGAGGTGCAGCTGTCAGAGGCAAAACTGGCCCAACACAATGTAGTGGCAGCTGAGGAGAAGGAACTCAGCCTTCAAGAGAGACATCAGGTGAGAAGAGTAGAAGATGAAAGTAATTATGTCTCCAGCTTTGTCAGAATATCAGCCGTTTAGCACCAGGTTTACGTTGATTTATCCCGTAATCGAGGCATCTGATTGGTCCATTGGCAGCTGCTGAGAGAGAGTCTGGAGCAGCAGCGGAGGTGCGAGCAACTGACGAGGCAGGAGGCGGAGCTTCGTGGACAGCTGGCCCTATACTCTGAGAAATTTGAGGAATTTCAGGGAACACTGACCAAAAGCAACGAAGTCTTCAACACCTTCAAGAAAGAGATGGACAAGGTTTTACTATCTCTAGATCTTTCATATGATACTGACACAACCCTTTGTAAAGAAGGGAGGTGTGTTTTCAAATCACTACGTATAAATCTTTCTCTTCCTCCATCTCTCTCCTCTTTCTGCAGATGTCAAAGACAATTTCAGTGCTAGAAAAAGAAATGGCAATGTGGAAAACTAAGTACGAAAAGTGCAACAAGGCACTTATCGACACGGCTGAAGAGGTACTGTATTACTATGACATCATCACGTTTACATAGTTGGTTACACAGAGGCTGCACCATGAGCGACAGGCGCACGTGATCCGAGTGAGGAACGAGAGACTGGAGAAGTTGTGTCGGGCTCTGCAGGCAGAGAGAAACCAACTGCAGGAACAGATCAGGAAGGTTGGTATGCCAATCGCTGAGCATGCGAAGAAACATCAGCATTACACAATCCTCAGGGTCCTATACAATCCATAGTGCAAACCATAACCTGCAAAATTAATGGATATGTGGATTTGTGTTTCCTTTGCCCACCCCCCTGTAAAACAAGAAATTTAACAGCAGGCGGAGGTAGAGAGAGAGGAGAGTGGGTCCTCTGACCAACAGCCATCACTGGAGACTAAGTCCTCCACTGACAGTTCTCCACCGCCAGACGTCACAACCTCTCCACCCTCACCACCACATCAGAGTGACGACAGGGAGAGTGGGGAGGAAGAAAATGGGAGTCTTGGCAACAAAAGTCTATAGCATTCTCTATCATTTTCGTTTGTATATATATATAACATTATTCGGCACAAAAGAAACTCCTAGTATGGAATATGCAGTAGAACGTAAGAAAACGTGGCGATTTGAGTTTGATCCTGCAGCAGATGATTGTGAAGCCCTGTGTTGTACATGGCAAAGTTCCATCCTAACTGTTTGAGAGTGTGTTGACATTGGTCAGAAGACAGTTGTTGGCTTGGTCCCTAGCAGCTCTCTCATTCTCTCCCCAGCCATGTCCAGTAATTGGGTAGGACACACCCCCTACTCCATCCACGCTCGCTACACAACATACCGACTTCTGTAGAGGCAGATGAGGGGGGAGTCAATTAAAGATGGTGTCCAAAAAAATTGCATCTCACCGCCTCTCCATGAGAACTCCAGAAGTGGTATTTCGGGGACAAAGAGGCCAGTTTAGATGCCACTACGTCATCATCCACCGCTCTGGGAAGATCGGGGGTCACTGGTTTTGCGACTCTCGGGGGCGCGGGGGCCGTCACTAGTTTGTTGGAACCGCGCTTGTCCATCTTTCTCAGCATGTCCCTGGCCGCTGCCTCCTTTGCGCTGCTCTTGCTGTTGCCCTCTCCCTCTGTGGAGAGGTCCGGAATCTTCCCTCCTCCCTGCACCTGGCAACGGACCCTGAACGACCGGGCCGCGGGGATGGTCTCGATGTACGTCGGCGGAGATAGATGCACGGCTTGTAGTCGTTCTTGTAGAGCGGCGACTGGACTTTTCCCGCTGGGACTGGGGGATGCTGGAGACGGGGAGCGATGAGGGGAGCAGCGAGTTGGGTGCACAGCTGCCGACACACTCTCCAACTGCGTCCTCGCTGCAGGTCGCGAGTTTGCGGGAGAGAGGGAGGGTCCGCGGTGCGGCGGGCTCTCCGCAGTCCCTCCTCCTCTTCCCTGTAGCGTCTGGAGCATCTTTCTAGCTGCTAGTTTCTCGGCTTCCTTCTTCTTGCCCCGAACCTCCGCTACCTCGCAGAGTCGCCTGCCGTCAGCACACTTCACCGTCACCGTGCATTCGACTACTGGACAATTAGGAGGCCCCGAGGATTTCACATGGTAATAAGGCAGGGGGAGCCCTCTCCCTTGGAATATCTCTTGCAAACGGTTCTTTGCGTCATCCATACTCCAGCCAGAACAGTAGTAGCTATAGTACAACCGTTGCTCTTATCTTCAACCTATCTGGAGTTCCGCTGTAGAATGCTATCAGTAGCTAGAACTCTCTCTCTGAAACACAGGGTTACTTCTGAGTAATTCTACACAACGAGAATGGTATAATACCCTAGTGGTTTCCAGGGAAACACCCAGGGGTATCCCCACACCTGTTGCACCTTATACACCTAGATGTTGTGTCTGCAGCTGTTTGTGTGCCAGTGAATTGGTATGTTGTGTCCAATGAATAACAAACAATGATTTCAGTATAAGCCAACCAACATAAATACCTCCAATGGTAATAGATTAGAAATGGTAAAAAAAAACGAAGGGTTGTATATAGATAAGCTAACGGTAGTCCGCAGTCAAATCTGCCACTAAAAACTGGTAAATAAAAGTTGCCTTCTTCCGACTGATGGGGCCGAGCTGTTTCTTTCTCATGATCCTCCGGTCACTGGCCGGGGATCGCAGGAGAACATCTCCAAATATAGTAGCTGCAAAGGGGGAGGTGGGATTATGTTTGGGAGAGGGGCAATGATACAGAAAAAAAACCTTTTGCGACAGTATGTTTGATAAATTTTATGAAATTGCGGAAAGTTTTAGCATGCTGGGAAAAGAGCAATTCTCAACATATTTTGCTACAAAAGCATCACAAAGTACAGTACATGAAACAATGCTGGTTATGCTACCAAAATCTATATGTACCAAGTAGCTTGTGGTCCAGTCCGTTCTCCTCCGAGTGTGCCAGCAACCTCTTCATGAAGGAGATGAGAAAGGTGAACGATCGCTGGTGAACTCTCGGGAGACTCAGCAACAACTGGGGAAGAAAGGTCAAATCCAGAGGTCAAACATCTGGAATCCTCGAGAGTGTAATACAATACACGTCCTAATATAGGGTCTTAATATGGGGTCTTAATAATAGGCAGAACTAATGTCTAGAGATGCATTTGGATTAGAGATCTGTACCTGTTTGCAGAGCATTGGTTGATTGCAGCAGTCCATGGCCCTCTGCTGGAGAGGCACCAGGATGACAGGCTCACTCAGAGCCGACAGGAAGAGGAGGACACACCCGGCAACCGAGTGGGCGGAGCCCGGCAACTCCCTGACTCCGCCCACATCCAGAGCATCTATGATTTCCTGGACTTCGACATGTCGACCTGATTCCTGGAATAGGTTCTCCTGTCGGAATGAGTAATGAAATACTTCAGCTGATTGTAGTACAATCCATTATACCACTGTGTATGTGGCACTAGTATATTACATGTGGTACTGAACTGACGGTAGAGAGTCCGTGGGTGTCAAGGAATGAGATCATCTGGTACAGCTCCTTCGGGATATCGTGAGGTGGGACGGTGCGACGAGAGAGAGAGGGAGACAAGGAGGGGGGAGGGGGGCGTGGCAGGGAGCAGGAAGACGAGAGGGTAAGGTCGAGGAGGTCGGCAGTCGGAACCTCTCTGATGTAAGTGTGCAGATGGACCAGAGTCTCCAGGGAAGACCCGAAACAAGATGGAACATAGTTCCCAGTCACGGAGAGGAAGAAGTCTTTGCCTCCCTCCAGGTGGAGGACTAGAATGTCGTCAATGGCATTGTGCTCTGAGGTTACCGTGGGAGCATTGTCACAGTCCACAAACACAGTCAGTACCATCACCACGTCTTCCACTGGAGGACAGGGATTACTGATATCACACACATGATTTACTGAGAGATTACTGACATCACACACATGATTGACTGAGGATTACTGTCAGAACAGACGGAATTAGACAGAGAACACTAGACACTGGATTTACTGAGAGATTACTGAGACTAGAGACTGAATTTACTGAGAGATTACTGAGATTAGAGACTGGATTTACTGAGAGATTACAGACTTACGTGGCTGGACCACAGCGGATGAAGGCTTGGCCTCAATCCAAGGTTTGCAGTAGGCCTCTTCGTCCAGTTTGGGGATGAATGATACGAGAACAGGTCTGCTGCCGGTGTTGGTGACGTACAATTTCCTGGTCTGAGGTACCTGCGCAGGGGTAGTGAATCCAGTTGCAGGGGTAACCAATGGATCATGTACGTACGGCAAATGCGGTTCAACTACACCCAGGACAACACGCTGCTGTATGCAGTAGCTACAAGGAGAAGATGAAGGAGCTTTGCAAAAGAGAATCTGTTTTGCTGTAGCTAAAGGCACATGGTGAAGAGGCGGAGGGAGAGGAGGGAGATTTGTACCTGGAATTTGATGTCTTTGAAGACAAACTCGGTGGTGGAGAGGTCGACCTGTGGGAGAGTATCGTTCTCCAGTTTATCCAGCTTCCTTGTAATCTCCTCCAGAGTGTCCTTCTCTTTCACTGGATCCACCACCCTCACCTGGGGAGAGGGCAGATGTCACTGCTGTGCAAATTTCACACATTTCAGAGTGGCTCACACATGCAGCTTCTACTGTACCAACCATGTTTGTGGAATTTTAGTTATGCAGTGGTCACGCATCATACATTAGTACATATGTATATAGCACAAGAAAATTGATTGGAACCTCTCTCCCTCTCTCTCTCCTAACTTACAGTGGAATCAAAGACGGCGCTGACTGGTTTATGATCGCTGGTCTTCATCTTTGGGTGACTGCGATAGCCGCGAAGCTCCGCCCCCATTCCGTGGTAGAGGACTCTGTCACACCAGGCTGGAGGTCTGTGCTTTTCACTATGTGTGTGTGTGTGTGTGGGGGGAGGGGGGAACAACATTAGTAATGTAAGCGCATAAGTGCTGGCACGGATTATCTTTGTGCGCATTCCTCTCTCATTACTATATTTATACCTGGAGTCCCAGTTGTCAGTGTTGGGGTCATATTTGTAGGTTGGTTTGAAGTCGATGGCTCCCTCCGCAAAGTCAGTGAAGACGTTCCCCTTGGTCATCTCCTGGACCAGCTGGTCCTCTTTCAGCAGAGACGACGTCTGGAAGTTGTCTGCGTTGGCCTTTATCACCTCCACCGTCATCTCCGGACTGGTCTGTATTCTGTAGTTCATGTCTCCCAACCAGAACACCATGCTGTGGGACATGATGTCATGGTGATGTAATTACCATGATGTCATAGTGATGTAATGGAGACCCACTCATGCTCCATGATGGTGTACTTGTAGTCGGGAACGCGTGAGAACAACATCTTATTCCTGATGGTGAGGTAGTCCTGTTAGAGAAGAGAAATGCAGAGTAGGGGGTGGGGCCTCGTAGATTCAAGGAATTTCAAGAGAGAGGAAGGAAAATATTCTCACGTTGTTTCTCTTCTCCACCTCCTCCACAGAGGCCGCAAAGTGACAATTGATGAAACAAAACGAAGAGTGAAACAAGTTGAACCTCATGCCCACCCCTCCCTTGTTTCCCTGGAGACAACAGATCCTGAATCAACAGTGATGTAATGATGATGTCGTCATACCATGAGACCACCGATGCCTGTGGTAACGTAGTCAGAGTCCTGGTCAGTCACGTGGGGAAGGAGGTGTGGCTTGATGTAAATGAGTAGGAGTATCCCCACCAACCGTTGCCCTAGCAACTTGTGGTATGACCCCACCCTCGCCAGGGTCGTTTCCACGGCGACTGTCCATGGTTCCTCTCGACTTGATTCCGCCCCCACCAGAGCCTGAGCACTGAGATCTAGTTCCTGGAATCTGGAGAGGAAATTGGCAAAGACCTCGTAACTGCACTAATCACGCAGTCATCTCATCAATGGCAAATCTACAGTCTTAAAGAAGAAGCACAGAAAAATGTGCACTCCTCAAATTAAAGTGCAGTGAAAGAACAACCCAGCACAGACAATGGTAGAGTTAATAATTCCACAATTAGACAAAGTGCATTAGACAAACTAACCCAATGACATAGACGTCAGGAACAACACTGGAGCCACTGTCACCTTGACCTTCGAACTCTCTCAGGAACTGATCTAGGGACGACGGCGGCAGCTTTCCATTCACGTTCCAAGTCCCACAGAACACCCTGCGGACATTAACGAGTGGGCATGGCCTGTTTATCACCATGGTAACCACACAACAAACTACCTCAGGGTCTTCTGATTGCAGAATTCCTTCTCTTTCTGTCTCAGCTCGGCCTGCACAATGCTCTCCCTCACGTTGGCTCGAGGGACTGGGACTCCAGGTCTGTAGCGACTGACCCAGTGGGAGGAGGAGCGAGCCCGTGTCTCTGCCCGTGGTCTCTGTCTGAGGGAGGGGAGGGGGAGGTGGGAGGACAGCTCCGGCTGCTCCATGTTGGCCTGGATGTGGGGGGGAGGGGTGGATAAACATGTACATGTTGATTAAGTTTAGCGAGTTACGAAATATCACAATTTTGTATTGCACATGACGTGTGTGTGAGCTTGAAATTAAACAATAATGTTTATTTGCTCTGAGGAACAGCAGTCAAAACAGCGGCAAATCGCAACTAAAACATATGGAAATCCACACTGTCTCCAAGATACACAGACATTGATAACAACCTTGCTAGGTTTAGTCTCAGACCCAGTTGCCTTCTTGAACCGCAGCCTGACTGCCTCTCGAGGCTTCCGGAGGTCGCGAAGGTCGGGGGACTGATTCAGTCTGTGTCGTCCGGTGACCTCTGCCGGTGAGATGACCTCAAACTTAGAGTACCGCTGTCCTGCTGAGGCGGTCGTCCTCCGGCCTTCTCTTCCTCTCAGACCCCACCCCTTTTTCTTTGTCCGAGCTGGAGGGAAGAGGGAGGGAATAATGAACCACAACATACTGTAGAAGTGAAAATGCTTCTAAAATTGTTTTCTTAAAGAAAGTATGCACTATTTGCGAAAAAAGGTTAATTTGGAAATAGTCTACTTTAAAAAGTATGAGTTCTCCTCACAATCAGTTATCTGAACCGAAGCACTGAATTCCTCCTCCCTCCCTTCCTCCCCGTTCTCCCCATTCTCCCAGCCTCCACTGGAGAGAGAGGAGGTGGAGCTGGTGAAGACCCCCAGCTTCGTCTGATCCGCGAGACCCTGCCCGAGTCCTCCCGCCACACAGTGTCTCTCAGTCTCGTCAATGGACACCAGATTGTCACTGGACCTGCAGCACAATACCACTCTCCTTACGTAAGATTGTACAATTACTCTACATTCTCACTTGTACGTGATTCATCTCATTAATTACCTGGAGATTAGAGGGTCAGCCCTCAATCTGGATGACTGGTGAGAGACCTCAGTCTGCAGTCTACGGAGGTTTGACTCAGATGTACACGATCTCATTCCACCACTGGCGGCAGAGGTGGGCACCAAATAGGAGGTGGATGAGGGAGGAGGCGGAGAGGGAGAGGTGGAGAACGGGTTCGTTGAGTCAGGGGCAAAGGGGTTACTATTGGTTGACGGGGTCGGAGAGGGTTCGTGTAGCGTAAAGGTTTCCGTGGGAACAGGAACACTGCCGTTACTGGAGACGTGGAGAGGATCAAATTCGGAAAGATCTTGTTCACAGTCTGTCGAGGGAGAGAGAGAAAGTAAAACGACACTGGTACAAATGAGAAAAAGAAAGAGAGAGAGAGAGATGAGAGATGAGAGAGGCCAGGAAATAAAGAAGGAAACAAAGAGGAAGAGGAGGTGAGATATCAAAATACCATGGCTGCTAGTTCCTCAAGCAAAATACTATTTCCTTGATTACGTAACTCAAGTGCTGCGGGAGCATATAAAGTAGTAAGGGAGAGAGCTTCCATATGCAACTGAATTCCAAGAACTTGGTTTTTGATCTGATTCACCAAATATGTGCATTCTACGCATGTTTTACTTCCATCAAAAGTATAAGCATGCAGTTGTCTACAGTAGATAGGAGACTAACTAGCAACGTCAGTACTGCCGTCAGAATTGGGGGTGATGATGTGACTCCACGGCCAGTTCTCAGGGAACGCGCTCTCCAGAGAACCTGATCCTGAGGTGGTGGGCGGGGCAAAGGGGTTGGTGGAATGTGGGGGGCGTGGCTTGGAGAATCGGTCCCAGCCAGTGTGACAACCCTCGTAGCCTGCCAGCCAGTCGAAGGCAGTGGGCAACTCTCTCCTTCCTGAATTAGCTGAGGGCAGGAAGAACGAAGGTAAGACCAGGAAGTAATCGGACAACTATTGAGGAAGATAAACTAAGGTTTAGAAGCCATCCATGAATGCAAAACATGTGAAAGTCAACTCTTTGTACTGCAGTTGTTTGCAACAAAAAATTTAGACATCTTTTCTCCTTATTTCCACTGAGTTTTCTCCCTCGAAGGTTCACTGATTGTACAGTATATATTTTAGTGTACATATAGATTAAATACTCACAGAATAGCTGCGTAGCTCTGTTCAGTTGAGATATGAAGACCTGTGGAAACTGGTCTCCTGGGATGTTTATTAGCATAGTCGAGCCGTCGCCCGTGGCAACCAACACCTCACTCCGCCCACCTCTGATAGCTGGACCGGACAGGGGAGACACGTCATGTGACAGTCACATGACGTGTGGGGAGGCAGGCTCACCTTGTGTGTGAGCAGAGAAGTGATCTCTGATGGGGAATATTCCCTGGAGAACACAGCATGAAGGTGACTCCAGCTCATCCAGTGAGAAGATAAATAGTCTGATTACAGAGATGGAAGGAGAGAGGGGAAGGAGAGAGGGGAAGGAGAGAGGGGGAAGTAAGCTCTGTTAAACATGTGTACTTTTGTGTATAAAATGTGTCTGTTCTGATGTGTTTCTTGTTGAGACATTCTTCACCTGCTGGCCCTAGCTGTTATTATACACACTCACTGAAATTGATTATCGAACTAGCATACATACATGTACAAGGGATGCAGCTGAATATGTAAACAGTGCTCGGCAGTTTTGAAAGTGACTGAGGATGTTAATGATAAAGAGAAGGAGAGGGGATACCTAGACAATGCAGTACACATAGTAGCCAGAGTGGTTAGTAACAATGTTGGAGGAGGCCTTATGAGGGAACAAACATCCAGTCTTTGGAACAGACAGAAGTGCAGTGTGGCAGGACAAGGAACACCACACATATTGCACACCTACACATTGCTACCTATACAAAGGTATGTACAGATATACTTACGCATATTCCTCTCTTGCTTCGTGCTTCACGATAGCACACAGCCTCTCAGCGAGGTCAGCAAGCCCCAGCAGTCGTCCCTGCACCGCCTGTGGTCCAATGAACAGAGCACAACTTATCCCCTCCACATATCAACAAAATATCAAGCTTTTTATCATATCTTACGGTGTACGCTATAATGTATACGTGTTGGTTGGTAGGGCGGGGAAAAGAGAGACGTACGTGAACACAAGTGTCGGCAGGTCTCAGGAGGCTCTGGACAACCTGCCTCAGCTCAGACTCCATCATCTGTCGCCACTCGACACGAGAGGGGGAGGGTCGCTTAGGGAGCGACCCACAACGGAGCGAGGGGAACAAAGAGCGCCAAAAATGATAGCTCAATACTGCTAGGCCGCGTCCACCACCAACTGAGCATCCAGTCACGTCGTGTATCACTTTCTCTGTGGTGGTTACTGCCAGGCAACTGACTGAAGCAGGCAAGTGTCCGACCACGACGGCGGATGGATGGCGGATGGATGGAGGAAGTTATTTCCGCGAAAAGGTATTTGCGCATGCGTATTTCGAAAAAGGGTGTGACTACGATGACTGAAACTGGTATTCTTTTAGACTGTAGTCACAAGTTCTATCAACGAACACAGTCAACTGCATGTACTTTGCATCACCGGTAAACTCCTGTGACCGAATTTTAGTGTTCACTTCCACCTATGGCAAAGGAACGGAGCATTCAACAACCATTTAGCTCAGACGAAGAAAACACTAAAATAGCTACCTGAATAAAGTAGTCAGTGCCAGAGGTGGAACCGCTGCCAGGGGTGGGGTAAGACGTAGTGGCACCCTTTACAGTGTACTGACTGAACGTCGTGTTTATCTTCGTCTCCACCACCGCCCGGCACTAGGGAGAGACGGACGATATCTTTCCACGCTAGCTAACGACATTTTATTGCTCACCTCGGAAGCTAGGCGAATAGCTTGAGGAGGAGGGGAAGAGATGGAGGCTGTGGGTACGAAGCTGCCGCAGGTCTGGCGACTGAAATTCAGGGGCGGTGGCCTGTGTGCCCCGCCTCGAGGTCTCGCCGACTCCCCGCAGCGCGGAGTTGCACGCGTCAGGACCGCTGGAAACTGCATTGCAACAGAAAGCTGCCTTCTAAGACCACGAGAAACGTATTAGTATAGGCCGGAACACAATCAAGAACGAACTCTTCTGCAAGACTTTCCCCTGGGGAATCACCGCCGCTTCCCATCCCAACGGGGGAAGGGCTCGTTTTGTGTGACGACACGCAGCGTATAAAACTTCGGCCAGGCTGCGACGCGGTGGCTAACGAATTCACTATGACCGGAGCTGTAGCGTCCTCCTCCTCGCCTCACGAGGTAAGTGTTTTTTTCAACAGCAAGCAATGCAACTGCCCTGGGGGCTGCAAACGCTCCGTCGCGTATACATAATGCACCGCCACAACCCTACCGCACAGTTGGTGTATGATATTGATGGCGTGCGAGTGGTAGAGACGAGAGAGCCTCCTCCCTGGCTGCAGGAATCTTACGAGCTGTTCCAGAACTGGCCAGAGGGTACACCTACACCGCACTACTTCCCCCCAAAACCTGGACACCTCACCTCCATTCTGCACCAATTCCAAGCTGCTCTCGGCTACCAGAGACAATCTCACCCCACTCCGCCGCAAGTCGTCACTCAACTTGCCAAGGATGTGAGTTGACATTTCCTGCCCCCACCCCTCTTTCTGACAAATATTATCAAAACAGCTTCTAAATTTAGCAGTTTCCCCGTTTGGAAGTAGTTTTAGTTCCATTTCCCTCACTTTGGCTGTGTATTACTCACTCTACCAAGTTATGTTTGCAAACTGACAAGCAATCCATCCTGCAATGTGAAACATTCATTTTGCAGGTCAGAATTCGAGTATCCAACATCTACAACACTAGTTTCTCAGTCTACCACGTCGTCCAGTACACTGAGTCTAGTCTGGACCGAGACCACATGGAAGGCACTCTATACACCATACATGTAAGATCTATCCTTTCTCAAATGCCTTACATGCATCATCTTCTCTCCTATAGCTCCAGATATCACCCAAACGTCAGGGACATGGTGTACTGGTAATAGAAGTGTTCAAGAGTATAACAGACTCAGTCTTGCTAGTAAACCATTATCTCAGCCAATAGCTCCCATCACTCCTTCTCTCCTTATTCCAGCGACTTGTCATTCTAACCCATCACTATAATAATGTATGAGTAGCATCACATGATGTAATGGCCCATCAGTTCTATAAAATTCACTACCATTACTGAACAGTAAATCCAATTAGAGTGAGACAGGCACACATACAGGAGTTCCCCAGAGTCTGTCGCTAGAGAGTCACATGAGCAGTGGCTGGATGCAGTCTCGGTTCCAGTCTAGAATGGAATAGGGACCAGAGAGGGAGGCACCTGTGCAACATTATAATATACCATCATTCCTCTGTGAATATAGCTACGTACCTGGTTGATCCATACTTCTGTCCTTATTTGGTGATGGTTCATTGTCCTGACTGACTGGTTACTACTGGACAAAAAGAAGCATATTATGTGTAAACACACACCCCAGTTAAAAATGTGCCCTACATCATCATAATGGACATGGGCCTCAACTAATACTGCCACAGGCTGGATCAATTACAGGACTATAGTTGACAATCTAACAGTTACTTTGGCAAAGGAAACTCTCAGTGTATGCTGGTAAACACTATACGACCACACAACAGGGGTATGAGAGGCTGGTGTAATGAGAAACATGAGTGGGGGGAAGAGGCTCGGTATGGTAAGTAGAACAAACGTCTTACCTCATGATAACAACCTCTTCACACAGTAGAATCCACTGTCGTTGGCAACATTACCACACACTCTAACTCTGTAGATCTATACACTGACTGACTACAACGCTCTCCAGAAAATGGTTTCTCTCATAGATCTTCTTCCTCCCTGGCCCCACTGGCACCATTTCTTTTCCCTCCCATAAGAAAGCCAACCACCCCGCTCCATACTTCAGACAATCCTCCAGTAAACGCTTAGTCCCTTCCAACTACATATTCCCTGCTCCTTCCTTCTTTACTGAAACAGGTGCCATACAAGCTAATAGAAGGTACTTTGTCTACTGCCAATCTTCCACATACGATCTTCAGTCTTCCATTTCTCAAGCCATTCCTTTGCAAAAATGAGAATGTGCACCCAACAAATGGTTAATGCATAACTAACACTATTGAACGAGGACTGAAACGCGTTTGCTTAATTAAAAGCACCATCCAATTTTGTGAAGAAGGTATAAGGCATACCGTTACTGTCAGTTTCTCTTACAGCTGCACTAAACTAATCAGAATGCATTTCATGTGACCAAATGGAGGAATATGATTGGCTGAGGGTCACATGACGACAGAAAAGGCCAACTACATAACACCTGACGGGGCAGCTCCTTTGACCTTGGTTTCGTGCAAATCATCAAATGCAGTGTTTGTGGGACCAGCAAAAGTTAAACCCCCTCAATAGAAGTCAATTTCCCTCATTCAAAAGGCGGCCCCCATAATATCAACAATAATTGCGTATGATTATGGCAGTACAAACATAGGGAGCCATGAAACGGCAAAAATGGTATACAGTACTGAATGCAATGAGTTCAGAGTAACAAGTTTTGAGGCCGAAAATACTGTATCTTATAGCATTACATTGTCAGTTGATAGCTTTTTACTGATAACAGTTAACGAGCTAGATTTGCCCAGGGGGTGGAGTCAACGAGGTTTCTATGGAGACCAGGAGACAAGAGTAAACACAGTGTATACAAATTACAATTGGAGATGAAGAAAAGATGAAGTAGAGAGGAGGAAGAGAGACAAAATTACAGAACTTTCGGGAAGAAAAAAAACTTGTCAAAAAATTTAGAGCTGCCTTCAAAAATTATGAAAGTTATTCTTCCTCGAAAGTTCATTGGTACAAGGAAACAACGCTAGCCACAAGGAAGGGGGAGGCAGTAGTCATGGCAACCAGTGAGGCATACAGTGTAATACACAAGGGATTTAGCAGCCGTTCCCCCCAGTCCGGGTCCAAATCTAACACTTGACCCCTCTTCTATGGAGTACAGTCTACTCAAACACAATAGCCTTTCTCAAGCCAACAGTAGCACTAGTAATCACGTTAGTTCATTATATATCAGGAGTACAATTACAATACACACCACTACATGGTCACAATCTCATCTTGAAAAAACACAGTACTATTGTCACAAGACACTGGGAGCTAGAATTGACTACTGCTGGGGAGTTGTAAGAGATAGAGCCTCCAAAACGGACTACTGCCATCCCCCTTTGCCACTCATAACAATATTCATAGTCTCTCTACCACAGGACTAGCTAGTCACTCACCGGTCCCATGCCAGGTCCCATGAGTGGAGGAGGGTTGAAGAGTGGTGGGCCTAATGGTGGGTGGTGCCCCATCAGGGCTGGCATCTCTCCCTACACACACACACAAATAAGAATCACACAACTCCACACACCACACTCCCCCACTCACATCGGGGGGTCTGGTCGGGTCTCCCATTATGGGTGGAAATAGAGGGGCGGGCCCGGGGAACGAGGGGAGAAGCCCCATGCTGCTCTGAGCGGCGTTGAGTCCCTTTAGCCTCTCCTCCTGCTCTCTCAGCCTCTCACCCAGTCGCTGCTGCTCCAGCTGGTGCCTTGCTATCTCTGTACAGACAGACAGACACACACTTCTCTCGTCTCTCCCTTGCATAGTTCTACTAAACACTATTTCTTTGCAAATGCAGCATGATTGCTTACCCTGCCTGAGGACCAGAGTCTGGTGCTGCTCCTTTATGGTGTCCATGTCGTTCTGAATGGCCGACTTCATTCCTCGAACCTTCTCCTCCAGTTTGTCCCTCTCGCTCCTCTCCTGATCAAAGAAGGCCTTCCAGCGCTGAGCCACATCAAACTCCAGACTGCCCGGCTGCGGGAACCTCGGAGGAGCCTCTCGCTCACTGGAGAAGAGAGAGAGAGAGAGAGATGGGAGAGAGAGGGAGGAGGAAGAGATAAAGGTGTGGACCTCCTATCACTAGATTATCCCTTTGATGATAAATTCATGCCCCCACCCTTTGAAACTAATGGGAGAGAGGGGTGCTGAAGGCTCGCTCACAAGTGGTAGGCATTGTTCTTGACGAGTTCTTTCTCAAGGAGTCCCTCCTCATTATCTCGTATCATCTCCGTGACAACCACTGGGACTGGAGACCTGCAGAGTATACACACATGGCAACATTCGGAATTCACACACTGTCTTGTTCTACTCTTCAAGAAAAGTTGCGAATGGCAGTCAAGGCAAAACAGAATAGCGTCACTCACAATAGTTACAAATTCACACTAGTATAATATAAACGATAAAGAATTGTCTCACTCACTTGGTAAGGAGGAACGGTTCTTTGCGGCACTGCTGAATGGCAGACATTGCCTGCCCCTTCCTCGCAAAATCCACTATCCCATAGCCGAGGGGTTTTCCCCTGTCGTCCGTGGCAACCACGGCCTCCTCCACGTCACCAAAACGAGAGAAAGACTCAGCCAGTAGCTCATTGGACACATAGGGGTTGATGTTGGACACCTTTATGGAGGCACTGGACGCAGCAAATCTGACTTTTATATCCCTGTTCCTGATAGTCTGTCCGTTATGATGCAGTATCACTTGCTCCGCCTCTGACCTATAGGCCTATTTATAGATCACAAGTGAGGTTACATCATCTGTGCTAAAAATAGATCACTCACCATCCTGGCAAAGCCAAAGTTTTTCTCCCTGTTGTGGTATATCTCCTGCACCTCTCCGTGGGCTGAGAGCATCTTCTTCAGCTCGTCTTCAGAGAAGTCGCGAGGCAAGTTACCGAAAAACAGCCGAGCTCTGTTGGTGAACTTTTTCATGGACGGATGAGGTGGCAATGTTGGTCTGTTGGCTTGCTCCCCTGTCATCTGGGGACCTGGTGCCACCGCAACTGGGGCCCCATCTGGTGTATTCCCCTCTGCCTGAGGTTTCCCGCCAGTCTCTTGCTGGTTCCACGACATGCTCCCTCCTCCTCCGCCACCCGCTACTCTGCCAGCCCGGCCGTACGGACTATGCCGGTTTTTCTTTCCTCGACCCCCGCCTCCCCTCCCCCCTCCGCCGCCACCAACTCTGAGTGCCATTCTTCTTCGTCACGGTTAGGCTTGTAAGGTTTGTAACGACACACGTAGACTGAAAACAACGACGACTTTTTAGGCGGCCATTTTGTTCTCGCTTGCGGTGTAAGAGGTGAAAGGTCGACACGTGAAACTCGCGCATGCGCAGGACCGCTTCTCGGAGCGTTCACACTTACTTCAAGATCAGATCATCGCTGTGTTGGGGTTTTGTAATATTCCTGTGTTCAGGCATAATATCCTTTAGAAGTTCACTTTGTAGTGTAGATCAATGGCAGAGTTGCCATGTGGAGAATTCTCGGAGTTCAAGGTTAGCAGACCGAGTGTCACGGTTGCCGTCATCGTCCGGACGACATGTGTGTTTGTTTGCAGGAGGCGCTGCAGCAGCTGAGGGCTCTGGACGACAAAATCATTTACAAACTCAACACCAGTGTCCCCACCCAGTCGTTTGCGGGACTGGTCAGTGCAGACGAGCGATGCAAGCAACTATATGAGGAGGTGGGTCGACCCATCCGCGGATTGCGCAGCTTCTCACAGGGAGTATTCACAGATGAAGGCAGGGTACCTGGCTCGACCAGCCGCCATTCAACACTGCATTGACAGGACCTCAGAGAGAGTGATGGAGCTGCGGACACAGAGAGAGGGGGCTGGTGGGGACGACCCTGCAACTAACAAGGCTCTGAGGAAAGAGCAGACGAAGGTAAGAAGCGTCGCACGGAAAGAGACGAGATGGGAGTGGGTGTGTTTTCTTTCTCCTCAGTTGAGGCTGATGCAGAGTGAACTTGCTGTGGAAGATGTCATTAGAGAGCGTTCCACAAAGGTTTGCCGTTAACTTTCGAGCAAACAGTTCTTGCGCATTGGACCCTCTAACCCGAGTGAACATGTTTGCCCACTCAAACTTTCTCTACCTACAGGTGTTTAAAGAGCGGTGTTGGAAAGCGTACAAGCCTCCAGATGCATAGCCTGTTAATTTTCCGTATTTCATCTACAATACACACTTGATGCATGCGTGGATTTGTTCGCCGGCTCGCTCATGGCGCGCGCCGCTCGGTCGCGGGAAAAAGAAAGGAGGGGCTGGTCCTGTAGCAGAGAAGCAGGCTGCCACGACTGAAGAGCGGTATCCATGGACGGCGAAGGTGGGAGAGAGGTCCGTCTCCTGAGCTGGCTGAACTCCAGCGGGGCCCTGGTCTCTCTCAGGGAACAGAGCTCCCAGTATACTGCCGCCAGAGACAAGGTAAGCTGGTCCCTAGGTCCTGAGGTCTTCATCTCTCTCTGCCACACGGCTCAGGTGGTGTACAGACTGTGTCTGGAGATAGATCCTCTTGGCCTACTCCAGTTCAATGGTACATGCAATTCCTCTGTCTACCACTGTTAGTGTATTAAACTTGGGTTCCCAGCTGAACTGGGTGACCTGCTCCTCCACTCGCCACGGCAGTTCTGGCAGTTGGCCCAGAACATCTGTTTCACTGCCGCCACCACTCTGGACTGGATCCCCGGACTCTCGTCTCCCTCGCAACTACTCCTAGAGCTTCGTCTCTCTTCCCTCCCCACCTCCCCTGGTAGCTATATATACACTCCCCACCTTCCCTGGTTTCTTCCCTCACTAGCTAGCTGTTTGAAATCTCGACAAACTGCATGTTTGTCTGGCGTCTCCTATTGCAGGGTACAGTATAACAAGACAGAGTGACTTCCCTCCTCTCTCGTCTGAGCCACGGTTCCTGTCAGTGACTGGAGTTGTCCTCTCTGCCACTCTTCCTTCTGAATACACGTCAGACTTCATTTATTAATGTCTGATGTTACCCGAGGCATGGATTGTTGCATGTTTGGCAAAAAAAACACACACATCGGAAAATAATTAAGTACATGGCATTATTGGTAATCCTATTATTCAGCACAAGTCTATAAAATGAACCTTTGATCTGGACACAGCATTGTTTGATGATAGCATCGTCTCCCCTCCACAGTCAGTCGGCATGTTTCCACTGTCCTGTGGAGGGCTGCAGTGGGAGAGGGAGTCACTATGTGAGACTCCACGTGGCTGGATCTAGTGAGGCTGCCACGGTCAGACCGTCGGTCCACTGCCACATCTGCTCCTCTCCCCTCACTGAAGACCTCTCTCTCAGGACTATTGCACGTATGTGAATTGATTGCAGTGTACAGTATGTATGGCTCTTGATGTGTTCACAATTGTAGTTGAGTGACACCAGTATACTTGTTTTCAGACAAGATGGTGGTGAATGTGGTTCCTTCTCACTCCCTCCGTAACTCCCTCTCCACACCCTCACACCGTCACCAGGCCACACCCATCATCATCAGAGGTATAATAGACAAAGCCACAATGTACCATTTGTTAGAAGCGGAGAATTTGAAGGGCATTTTTTCGTCTCCTTGTCAATCAAATTTCACAGATATAATCAAAAGTGGACATTTGTAAATCTTTTGGTAAAGTTTTGGTACATGAGCAATGGTCATAGAGTTGTTGTTATCTATGTGCTGTAGGGGAGCTGTGTGAGGGTGTGAGGGTGGGAGGGGAGTACTCTGTGATAGGTGTGCCAGTCCACACCCTCAATGAGTCCTCTTCCAGGGCCTTTGTCTACACCAGACTGGAGGTATATACTGCAAACAATGTGTTCCATGCTGTGTGGCAAATAAAAGGCGAAACAATGTGTTGACAGGCAAACAATGTGTTCCATGTGGGGAGAGCTTCAATATCAGTGGATGAGGCAAAGGCTGTCCTCCCAGCTCCTGTGACTGATATCCTCTCTGGTATTACCCCATCTCTCTCTCTCTTTCTTTCTCACGTTTGCTCCTCTGTGGATGACAGAGTCTCTCACTTTCCCTGAATGCAGCATGTAGCTACTCTCCCTGGGCATTCTCTGCCACTCTCGCTTACAGCTTCGCAGGTGAGTGGATGACTAGCAGTATATAGTGTATACAGTCAACTATACCATTCATTACTGAGATGTGCTATCTTGCTGCACAAACCAACTATTCTTAATACTTTGACTAGTGTTGGAGTATGGAATGGTAACATCTGCTATCTCGCTGCACCTATCCCTATCTCGCCCAAATTTCGCTGTACCCCCTTAATAAAGGTGTCAACGATTTCGCATTTGTTGTAGGCACGAGAGTGGAAATAGAGACAAACCAACTATTCTTAATACTTTGACTAGTGTTGGAGTATGGAATGGTAACATCTTCTATCTCGCTGCACCTATCCCTATCTCGCCCAAATTTCGCTGTACCCCCTTAATAAAGCTGTCAACGATTTCGCATTTGTTGTAGGCACGAGAGTGGAAAAAGAGACAAACCAACTATTCTTAATACTTTGACTAGTGTTGGAGTATGGAATGGTAACATCTTCTATCTCGCTGCACCTATCCCTATCTCGCCCAAATTTCGCTGTACCCCCTTAATAAAGGTGTCAACGATTTCGCATTTGTTGTAGGCACGAGAGTGGAAATAGAGACAAACCAACTATTCTTAATACTTTGACTAGTGTTGGAGTATGGAATAGTGTAACATGTGATATTATGTGTCCAATGAAACACCCCTCTGCTGGATTCCACCACCATGCAGCGGAGGTAGTACCACCGGGAGCCTACCACCGCCTGAAGCTGGCACTGCTGCTGAGTCTCGCCAGCTCCTCCACCCCCTCCCCTCTCCACCTCCTCACCGTCGCCACGGATACCACTCCCCTCCCGGCTCTCCTCCTCTATGGCAGTTCACTGGCTTCCCGCTCCACACAGCTCTCCTCGACCTCTGACCTCTGGGGATCCAACAGGTAAAGGGTTAAACCAGAAGAATTTTCACATCAATATTTCTACATGACACATTCGATGCATTCTTCTAGAGATACACACACGTTTATTAGCAGCCTACTAACCTGATAATTCTGTAAGCTAGGGGTTAAAGGGCTGACCTCTGACCCTGTCAGGAGTGAGGGAGGGGAGGTAGTGATGGAGGGAGGAGCACTGGTTCTGGCCTCAGGAGGTGTGTGTGTTGTCGGAGACACCAGTCGCCTCAAGAAAGACAAGCTTCATAGACTCCAACATTGTGAGCTACAAGTTGGAGTAATCACTGTCCCAATCATAATGACTTTTTCATCTTTATCCACAGCTCTGGAGGGACGGCAGGTGAGGCTGGGTGTGGAGGGCGGGGCAAGGGGCGTGGTCACCAAGACCTGCCCACTTTCCTGCTCTGTCTGGGCATTCTCTCCCACCCAACCCAGCAAAGCCTTAGTCGAGTACGGAGCTCTCTTTCTCTGCCATTTCTAACTCCCTCCGCTCTCTTCGGATGTAGTTCAGTGGGCGTGGCTGTATTCTGTGACCCGCCCACATCGGGCGGAGCTGACTTCCTGTCAGAACTGACGACTCAGCATCTTCTGGAGCGAGCACGAGGCTCTGCCACGCCCCCTCCCCTCTCTCACTCTCATCTTCAACTGGTAGAATTCTCAACTGATTCTTAACCTTTGCAGATCCCACACTTTTTTTACTTCGGAAAAAGACCCTCCACATAAAGGAAACTTCCCTATATTATTATAAAGGACGCTTTGTTCTGCCCCATACAAAATTTTATATTGCCAAGGTGTTCCTTAGTTCAATGTGTTCCCTCCACAGTTGTTGTCGGTAGTGTCAGGGGTGCAGGTCAGCCTCAGTCAGTCGTGTCAGAGTCTCCTCAAGTCATTCTACCTGGCCAGTCGCAGGCTGAGGTCCTCTGGTCTCCACAGCTGTGACATGCCACTCAACTCCCTCGATGTCATGTGAGCTGAGAATTACTCTTTAGAGCAACGCTCACATTTGTGACATATCTGGACATTATTATCTATGTCTGGACTGACACTATAGATTGATTGATGCACAACCTCTTTCATTCACTCTCTCCCTCTGTCTCCTAGGAGTGGTCTGGCCGAGGCCCATGCTAGACTCAGTCTGCGGGAAGAGGCAGGGGAAGAAGATGGAGTTATGGCCATTCTCCTCTACGAGGAGTCTCTCACCTGTCGCTATGGTAACTCTGTACTCCACCTCGTCCCCTCGCCTCATTTCACAGACACCAACCTGTCAGCCTACCTGGGGAGACAGGTACTACTAGCTACATAATTATGATAGACTGTCATGCTGTATTGTTGCTACACATAAACTCCCAATACTGCCTGGCCGAAAGGTTTTTATCGCCAGCTAAAAACTCTTCCCTCTCTCCCTCCTTCTAGTTTGATGAGAAGATGAAGATTCTCCACAAACACATTCTTCAGTTCAGTCATTCCCCCTCCACACTCTCTCTCCAGCCTGAGGAATAGCACTTTACTCCAGTCATCCAAACACATCATCCAGTGATTGTAAAACACAAATCATGTATAATCCAACTATCAACTAATGTTAGAGTTTCTCTGGAAGTCTGTATTTTGAGATGATTTGTGTTTGTCATTTGCTGTCTTGGTGATGTACAATGTGGCATTTGGCACAAGTCCGCACTCCGCTAACGAGGCAGAGAGGTCAGAGTACACCTGATGAGTGACTCCGCCCACCAGCTGGTAGGCGGGGCTGGTTGGGATGGAAGTGGGTGGAGTCTGAGAGAGAAGGTGTGTCCAGACGTCGCCAATAGTGTCCCCAGTCTTCATCTTCATCAGGTAGGTGTGGTCTCCAGACTCCGACCTCACTTTCAGCGTCGTTAGAGAGGGACTACCCACTCTGTGTATAATGGTGTGTGCACGTTACAGTAGTAGAAAGTTTTAAAACTTGTGCAGGCCCAACTATTGATCCTGGTTGGCAATGTTCACAGGGAATAGGCAATGCTCAGCCAGGTTTGTGTATATACGTGTGGAGAAAGAGTTGTACCGTGTTCTGAGTTGGTCGAGCGCAGGTGTCTGCAGGAGAGTTACAGAAGAAGAGGAAGAGGGTTGGAAAGGGCCTTTGAGAGTGGCAGAGACCTCGGATCGTATGTCGAGGACACGACCTCCTCTGATCACGCAGGGAGGGAGACGAGCCAGGAACTGATCTGCCGACAGCCTCGGACCTGGAATAGGGGAGTGGGGGAGGTGTGAGGGTGTGAGGGTGTGTGAGACCTGGGAGTTTGGAGGTAGTGTGTGGAGAGGAGAGTTTCGACGGTCGCGCCTGGCCCCCCAGTTTCTGCCCACTCCCGTGGACCCCTGCCCCCCAGCTGTTGGGAGGTTCATAAGTCATGTGTCTCTGGTCTGTGAGTTTGAACGGGACGCCGTCAGGGAACTGTGACTGGAGCTCCGAGGGGAAGTAGCCGTCCATCAGATCCTGGACACATTGCTGCAGTTTGTACAGACTTGATGAAGATGAAACATTGCTGTTGTCGCTGGGCGAACCTGCGTGTGTGGATCAGAGAAAGGTCTGAAAGGACCTTGGAACATGACCAGTCCGTTCGCATAGAGAGTGAGAGGAACACTCTCCGTTCTCTATGGCACATAGGGGAACACGAAGAGTGGCATCAGGGAGGGAGATATTATGATCTTACTCTGAGCGTGGCTCCGCGAGGTGTGGTAGAAATGGCAGTTGAACCTTCGCCAGCCAGAGCATTCAGAGACTGTGGGAATATAGCTACTAACGTAATTTGACGAAATGACTTATTACCTCAACATTCCTAACTATCAGGTCAAAGTCGACAGCAAACATATTGCGAGGAAGTGAGGAATCCGGTAGCCACACCCCTTCCTTGTGACCTCTGACCCCCTCACTCCCCATCCATATCATGCCGTAATCATTGAGAAACTCCTGCAATAATGTCAGAGAGAAAAAATAGCATGAGTTGGGGTGTATATATAATGTACCGAAGAGACAGACCAGCAATTGTAAAGGTGAAGGAAAAATAATATTGGGATGGGGAAGAAAGGAAATTAGGTGCAAATTGCAGGGTTACCTCCATTTCTTGAATCTGTTTCTGGAGGATGTCACATTTCTTCCTCAGCAGATCATCATGGTTGTCATGAGGAGTACCATGAGAGTGAGGAAGAGGAGGAGTGGGTGCCGACAGCCTTCTCTCCAGCTCCCTAATTCTGCCCTCCTTCTCCCTCACCTCTTGTCGAGTCGTCACCAGCTGGGCCTCTGCCTGAGCAAGGCGTGCAGCCATAGAGGCCAGCAGATCTGAGTCAGATGGAGGAGGAGACGTGTTAGCTGGTGGAACTGCAGCTTCCGTCTTCCTGAACGGCACCCTGTGGAAGCAATAGCTCTAATGGTCTGTTTTTCACGTAGCTATGCAGGCAGAGGGAAGATCCTACCTGCAAGCTCCGGGGAGAGGACTTCTCTTTACTTTCTTCAGTGTGGACGACGGCGAGCTCATGCTGTCTGGTTTTGCTTGACTGCACGAGGATGGAAGGGGGTGGGGCTGCAGTTATAGCAACGCACTCTCCGAGAGTATACGGGAACACGTATCCGTAAATGTAGAGTATACGGGGAAAAGTTCAGGGCGGATTCCAAATAAAGCCCGCCAGCCATGCCGCAGCAGCTCGAGTACGACGAGCAGGGCTCGACTTTCTACTACTTTCTCATCTCCTTCTACGGCCTGTTCCTCCTCCCAGCCACCTACTTTCTCTGGCCGTCCAGAAAGAAAGGTAGACCGTGGCTCGTTTGATAGCTTTTGAGTTTTGAGGTTTGTGTGTGTTCAGCGGCGGGGGAGACAGGTCTGGTATGTCAGTGTGATCCATGTCGTCACAAGAGGGTTCGTCTGGAGGAAGAGCAGCCGAGAGAAACGCTATGGATTATCACCAGGTATTACGTAGCTATGTGTACTACAACAAAAGAAGTCCATGCTAATTAGAACCTACTGTATCCTAGCCTCAGCTGTTGAAATTCACCATTGTAATGCCATTTACAGAGTGGCTGTTATAGCTGTCCTCTGGCTCCTCCTCGCCTTCATGCTCTACAAGGTATGTACTCGCCTTTTAACCTTTCCCCACTGGAGCGTTAACCCTTCTCCCACCAGGTGTTGACAGCGGAGGTGAGCTACGAGGAGTACGACCCATTCTCAATCCTGGAACTGAACTCGGACGCCACGATGGGCGAGATCAGGAAGCAGTATCGCCGACTCAGCAAAGTGTATCACCCTGACAAGCAGGGAGGAGATCAGGACATGTTCATGAAGATTGCCAAGGCTTACGAGGCGTGAGTCCTGGCTGCATCAGCTCTTAGTGTCTGCAGTTTGCTATATTATTAGTATTGCTAAAGGTTTTCATCGTAACTCGTCATCAGATTGAGTCATTCATGTGATCAGTTGGCACGGTAACTCTCCAGGTTAACGGACGAGGTGTCCCGGGAGAACTGGATAAAGTATGGAAACCCTGACGGACCTCAGGCGGCAACGTTTGGCATTGCCCTTCCTTCCTGGGTGGTGGAGAAACAGAACTCCATCTGGGTGAGGTGACCTCTGGCCCCACCCACCACTAATTAGATCATGTCTGTCTCCAGGTGCTGGGACTCTACATGTTGGTGTTCATCATCATCCTGCCCATTGCCGTGGTCAGTCACAACTAGAAGACAAACATGCAAATTTCGTGTTTATGTTTTGTGGGTGGGGGTCATTAATTACGCATGTTATTGGTGTACTTTGTAATTTCCTACTTTCTGTCTACGTTCTTAATATACATTGGCTGTAGTGTCAGTGACACATGGTATAGTGGTCATCTGTAAATCAAAGGTGTAGCTGTGCTCCTCCCTCCACTCCCCCAGGGCACGTGGTGGTACAGGTCAATCAAGTACACGACTGCCAACCTCCTGATCCAGACCAGTCAGGTCTTCTTCCATTACCTCTCTAAACCTCGACAACTCACCATCAAAAGTAAGTACTCTCACCCCTGCATTTCACTCTCAACCTTTCTTACTGTTCCTCCTCTCTCTCTCCCCTGTCAGGGCTCCTGATGGTAATGGCAGCTGCATTTGAGTTCAACCCTCAGTACAGTAAACTCCTCCCACCTCGCCCCTCTGATGATGAGGAACTTACTGAGGTACGAGGAATTCAATTATTAGTGAATTAGTTTACAGAGCTCTCTCTCTCTCTCTGCAGTTGATCCACTCCAGAGACCTCCCCCACCTCACAGTCAAGGTGAAGGAGCCTGTTCTACGAGAACCATGGGCTGTCAAGACCTCTATTCTAATTCACGCCCACCTCGGGAAGGTCGGGTTGCCCCCGGCAACACTCCGTCCAGGTGAGAACACCAGTCCCCGAGTGGCTGATGAATATTCATTAGGAGGTGTGGTCTATTTGCAGACCAGAAGACGGTGCTGAAGGTATGTCCAAGACTGATTAACGAGATGATAAACATCCTCAACCAGGTCTGGATCTATGCTAGATATAGACCAAGTAAGTCACCTTCTCTTCTCTGTACCAGTAACACTTGTTCTTACGTCAGTTTAAAGACTTATTTTCTACCCATTCCTACTGAGTTATTCCATTAACCTGGAACTTACATCTCCCTGGGTGCAGGTCCGCAGGTGTCGACTCCGCCCAGCCAGGACGTGTACGAGAGTGTGATGAGGATGAGTCAGATGGTGGTGCAGCAGACGTGGGACAGAGAGTCTGTCGTGTTGCAACTGCCCCACATTCAGACAGACATGCTCCGCCACTTCAGGTTATCTCACATTGCATAATACCAGCTGTCCATGCCAGCACTTACAGTACTGTGTTCTTCCTCGTAATGTATCATTTGGTCGTACATGTTAATCTCGGTAGATTTTGAGGTGTATGCAGTTGAACATTTTTGCCATTTTCCATAAACGACTATGCCTTCACCACTCATAGAACAAGACGAAGGAACATCACAACTGTAGAGGAGTTTGTAGCAATGAAGAATGCCGACAGACGGTCGCTGGTTCGAGCCATCTCTGACGAGGACTATCTCGATGTCATGGCAGTCTGCTCCTCCTTCCCTCACGTCACCATTTCCACTGAGACGCAGGGTATCCCAATTAGAGCCCACCATCACAAGCCAACCCAATCATTGTACTTTACCACTGACCTTTCTCTCTGCAGTAATGGACGATGATGACAGGCACAAGGTAACGGCTGGCTCCATGGTAACCGTGACTGTTACTCTCGAGAGGGTGGGGCTTTTGGTGAGTTTGCTATTACATCATCAGAATAATCTTTGACCCTTACGTCATAATGTAAAACTTTTCTTGTTGCAACAGGAGAAGTACAAAGTAGATCAAGAGAGTCTTCTGGGTAGTGGTACAGTATCGCTGGAGGAAGAGGATGACCCTGTCATTAATCACAATAATACGGTATGTAGGTATAAACCCAACTTTCTCTCATTGTCATGTACTGTACCTTCACTGGTATGCATTTCGTGCTGTTTCTTGCACAGTGGATCCTTCACTAATATGGGAATATTCTTGTCTCCTAATGATGTATGAATTAGAGGGGTTCCCCTGTAGACATATCATTGTACCACCTGAAGTGGCATGAGACAGTGTGTCATGTGTGTCAGGTGGTGGAGAATGTTGGAGCGGGGGAGAAAGGCAAGTCACAGAGACCTTCGTGGGAGAAGAACAAGAAGAAGAAGAAGGGGAAGGGGGGAGGGGGGAAAGTTGTGAGGAGGAGAGTGGGGAAGAAGGGGAGGGAGGGGAAGGAGAAGGAGGAGACTGAGCACGAAGAACCAGAGGAACCCATGGAGGAAAAGAGTGGTGAGTAACAAATGCCCATGGGGTAAGTGTTGTAGGTGGAAAGTGTGGTTGGTACTTATATACGGGTAAGGAGAAACTGCACATTACGAAGTTGGCTCTGTGAATGAGTTTTCTGGTGTGTTTGCAGGCAGTGTATCAGAGGAGGAAGGAGGGGAGAGGGAGAGTGAGGGTGAGGTGGAGGGGGGAGGGAAGGGTGAGGATGAGGAAGAGGAAGAGTGGCAGTCTCTACAGGAGACCATGAAGATACAGCAACAGAAGAAAAAGGAGCTGGGAGTCAACAAGGAGAGCCATCCCGTACACGCCCCCTTCTTCCCTGAGGTATGTGGTCACATGGCCTGCACCATGGATCATGTGAGTGTCACATGACTGCAAACTCTATTCCACTGTGACTTCAGGTGAAGCAGGAAGGGTGGTGGTTGTACATAGCAGACAAGAGGAGGAAGGAGATAGTGGTGCTGCCTCAGAGGGTGCAGGGCCTCAAGTCGGAACTGACTCAAGACCTCCAGTTCCAGGCTCCGGAGAAGCCCTGTGTTCTCCGTTACACTGTTATCCTCACGTCAGACTCATACCTCAACCTGCAGTTCTCCACTGAGCTCAAGGTTTGCCCGGAACTGTGTATTACTAATCTTAAAGGTTCACGGAACTGCACTGTGTTTGACAATTTGTCACTGAGCAGTTAGGGAGAATTTCAAAGTGTTCAAGGAAAGCATTTTGCTAAGCGCAAAAACAACTAAGTTGCCTCATCAATATTACGCTATTGATGCTGTGCCTCGTATGTTCAGATTGATGTGAGTCAGCGTGTGGAGGTGAAAGGTCGTAGCCAGTGGGCGGAGCTAGAGCAAGAGGAGGAGGAAGAGGAGGCGTTCGAGGAAACGGAATCCGAAGGTGACTTCAGCGACTTGTCGGACTCTGACTCATAGCCACACCCCATTGTTATATACTTCAATCAGTTCTCATGGCAACTATCATTCTGGGAGATGTCATAGATGATGTCAATATAATACATGACCAGTGATTCAGTTAGAGTGGGTGGAGTCTGTGTTAATTAATTTCACCAGCAGCTCGTTGAAGATCATATCTAAAAAGGAAACAGCAGAAGAGTGAAGGTAATGGTGCCAGGCCTTTAGCTGTGTTCACCTGTCAAAATGTGTTTGGAGTGTATCCGGGTTGCCATGGTTACCCCACCATCGAGATCTGATGTCAGGAGCAATTGGAATGTCATTTGTTCCAACAGAAAAGTTGCCACAGCATTGCACATCTGACGTGGGGGGGGGAAACCAATCTTTGTTACTCCATGCAATATACTAGGTACACTGTTGTATGCTTCTTTCACTCATCAAAAGGAATTTGCCTAGCTGTATGTACAAACATCTGTATTGTAGGACCTCGTGTTCTGTGTTGTTGTGTGTGATGAGGTGAAGCAGTGGGTGTGGCATTCGTGGACCAATCACAGTCTTGTTTCCATGGCGATATAGGTCAGAAGGCTGAGTACTTGGTCGGCATGGTAATGGAGGTAGAAGTGATGTGATTGGGTGGAGCATACTTGGTGGGTGTGGCTTCGGGATTGCGTGCTTTGCAGACTGCTGGTGACTTAGGTAACTAAAGAAAGATATGAAAGTTTAGTCGCTAGATCTAGAGTCTAGATTGTGAGTTCTCACCTGAAGACAATGTCACTGATGGTTTCATTGACAATCTCTCTGACTAGATCAGGGAGTACACAGTCCACAATACCCTCCCCCACCTCCCTCTCCACACCCTTTCTCCGTCTCCTCCTCACACCCTCACCAACTTCTCTCTTCAGCCCAGTTTGCCTTGTTCAGAGATATTGAAAGTTACGGATGCTCTTGGAAACTGTCTGGGCTAGAAGAGCTCTGCCTTATGTCACCTTATAACAGGTTCATTTTCAATGAAAAGCACTAAAGTGCAAACCCTCGGCACACTGTATAGAAATGTGGAACCCATACACAAGTGTGGCACCACCACAATTGATGGTCTTGACCATGCATTAAAAAGAACAGCATGTTATGCACCATTAAAAAAAAATGGCCATGTGGTTTCTGTTTGAGGCCCAAAAAATATATAAGGTTGAAAAATTGCCAACCTTTCATCTCTCTATTAATTTTCGTTTTACCCGTGGATTGTTTAGTGAAAAAAAAATTTTTAAAAACCCAAGGTTGGAAAAAAAAACGCCCAGCCCTCCATCTCTCCAGACAGACGTCTACGGACGCAGTGCTATGCCGAACTGTACGCGGCCCTTTGAGAAACGTGGGTCAGTGGTAGATTTGTGGGTAAGGGGAGGAACCAGAGCTGTTCCCAGCCAGCCAATGCTCTGGACCATCTGACATTTTAGTGCGGGATCGAGGATTCGCGAACCCAGCACCTATGGTGTCAGTCCCCACGACTCTAACCACCTAGCCACTCGGGCTGGCCTGGAGAGGTGATGAAAAAACGTTCCATATATACCAACACTCCTTATTACATCATTGTAAAAAAGGCGTACACACCCGGGATCGAACCAGGGACCTCAGGATAAAATACACGGGGGATAAAAATATACTGTGACACCGGTCCTAAATATAAGCGCATGCGCATTTCCGCCAGCGATAAAATTGCATTAGCCATACAATGCTGGAAGCGCTCTAGCTCTGCAACGGAGCATTATCGGAGAACCCCAGTAGCACCCTATATGGCGGCGCTAAAATATTGCCCTTATTACGCAGACCATTATCTTACATACTGAGTCTGTTGAAGTGAGAGCTGTGGTTGTGGAATGTACTGAGGGAGGGCCCACGAGACGGGGAACTGGGCGCCAGACAGCTGAAGAGGCTGGTAGACGGGGAAGGGAGCAGGCTGCAGGAGGTACGTCGTCTGAGGTGGTGGTTGTAGTAGCACGGCGGCTTGCTGTTGAGCCCCGCCTCTTCTCCTGTTAGCAGCCCCCGGGACGGCACGGACCGTCAGAGATACACGACGACCGCCAGACTCCAGTTTTTCTGCACTCACTGCACGTACAGACACAGCTGAAGCTGAAGCTGGGGACTTCGACAACGAGTGAGCGGAGAATTGCAACCGAGCTCACGCATGCGCATACGTGAAGTGGGCGGGGCTACCGTATAGGCGCTCTCTCGCAAGTTGAAGAAATGGCGTTTGCTCTGTCAACTCGGGACCTACTGACCATCTTGAAGTGAGCTGAATAGGTGGAAACTTCCCCTCCCAGATACCCTCTCCCCCCGTATCCAGGGTCCTGGCAGAAGCTAATCTGACCAACTCTACTCTTGAGTCAGTGGCTGTCGCAATAAAGACTCATTTCTCCAAGGCAGACTACTTCAGAGTTGGCAATGCTCTGGTGAGACCTCAAATATTGAGCACCTCACCTTCCAAAAAATTCTTAAGGTACTTCGGTATTGACTGAAATTGTACTCTCTCTTCAGACAATGCTGCTGCAGCACAAAGACCTCCTCCCACTGACCTCCCAGAGAATAGCTGCCTTATTCCTGCTGAACGAGTTCTACCGGTCGGAGCAACCCAGTGGAAACCCGTTTGCCCTGTTTTTCGTAGAGCTCCTGCAGCCCCAGGTTGAAGACGATCGTACAGTGGCTGGTGTGCCGTGTGGACACTCTCTCTCTCCCATCGAGAAATGGTTCCTCGCTCATCTCCTCTCCTCTCTCACCCCCAAAGATGTTAGTACCCCCATTACATCATATGACACAAGCTGATCCTGTTCTCCCCAACCGTTAGCTGTTCAAAAAGACGGCAGCTGCAATCGCTTCAACAGACCCCTCCTCTCTACAAGTAGGCCCCCAGTCACATGAATGTCATGTGACTATTCATGTGACTACTGCTCCTGGTCACATGACCTGCAGTTGCCAGACATACAGTCTCTGGTTGTGTCTCTAAGCGACCCTCATGATGACATTGCTCCTAATGCCAAGATCGGTCTCCCGTCTGTGATCGCGGACTCGGACCCTACTGGAATTGGGTATGATTGACCATTACATCATAGGAATTGACTATTACATCATCCCTCAGACGATTCAGTGTTCCAGAGGCTGGCCAGGCAGCTGAGACCTTTCTCTGCAGTAAGTCAGACACACACACACACAGTGAGGAGAGAGATTTCAGAGATGGATGTGATTGTTTGTGATTGTTAAAGCTGTTAATTGACATTAGCACATGTTGTTGTTTGTGACCCTGCATGGCCACAATTATGTATGTTATGTGTCAGGAGATGAGATGGCAGAGCAGACGTTTGAACCAGGGCTCCTGAGACCTCGTCCTCCTCTCTACCACAGTGAGGAGGAGACCATTTGGCTGAACCCCTTCCAGACCCAGTGCCCCATTCAGTGGGACACTCTCATGTGCAGCCACTCCGCCGCCGGTACGCCCAATACCATGATGTAATGATGATGTCATTGGGAATTCCCAACAGAGGCAATGAGACTGTTTTACAAGGCGTGTGGAGAGGTTCTCTCTCTTCCAGAGCAGCAGGTGATGTAGTATGACATCACTATTTGGTCATGTGATCTGTGATGACATCATTGCAGGCACTGTCAGGTCAGTTCAAGAACGACCCAAAGCTGGTGTACCAGGTTGGACTCACCCCAAAGAAGGTAAGTGGGTCTCTCTCTTGAGGGAGTGTGTCTGGAGTGGTGAGGAGTTGCAGCTTCCAGACCTGGTGGAGAAGAATCCCACCGTCGCCATAGAGGCCCTTCTCTGTCTCACTAACTCCTCCCAGCTGTCTGCGTAAGCCACACCCACCAACTCATGCCCCACCCCCTTTCCTCTCTCCCTATCTCAGCTATTTCGCAGCTCTACTGAACATGGATATGTCCCTCCACTCCATGGAGGTTGTCAACAGACTCACCTCCGTGAGTCTGGGCCTTACCTACTGTTGGTGCATGTGTCTCGAGGCACCACTGGGAACATTACAGACTAGATTTACACCCACCCTCCTGCCAACAATCTTGATCGCTGTTACATGCTGAATTAGAAACCTGCCAACATTCATGTGCCTGATTCGTGTCCATTTTCTCGGCGACCGATATTGTTCCAGGCGGTGGATTTGCCCCCAGAGTTCCTCCATCTCTACATCAACAACTGCATCCAGAGATGTCGCAAGATCTCCGACAAGTCCTTACAGAGTCGTCTCGTCCGACTGGTGAGGTTACCGTGACAATAATCAACCCAGCAATAACTCTCCCCCCCACAGGTCTGTGTCTTCCTACAGTCACTCATTAGAAATGGAACTATCGACGTTCAGGTAACGTCCAAGATTTGCTAGTTTCTACAAGTTTGAAGAGTTGAAATGCCATGAGCATGGATCAGTTTCTTGCTCTCATTGTTATTGTCGGCCACTCTCTCCTATTCAGAATGACCTGGAGATCCAGGCATTTGCTCTAGAACACAGCCGAATCAAAGAGGCCACTGCGCTGTACCGTCTCCTCAAGACACTGGAGGGGGGCGGGGCAGAGGCAGCGGGCACTAAATAGAAAAAGTTCGTCCTTTATTATCATCCACCGAACAATAATTCTGACTTGTACGTAATAAAGATTTTATGATGAGAGAAGAAGGGTAATGAGAGAGTTCAGGTGGTGGTGCTGCGTGAGGTGTGAAACGAGCAGCTGCCAGAGGTCAGGGTACAAGTCTTTTATGACCTTGAGAGGTGTGGTCAGGTGGGTGTGGTCTATGGTCCAATAATTACAGGAGAGATAGTTTGTTAGTGGAGGCAGCAGAGATGAACTGTGGGAGTGAGATAACGGATCAATTGTGACTGAATAGTGTCAATTACCATGGCAACAGATGATCCTGGTGATCTCTGCAGGCAGTGAGCAGCGGTGTTAAGATGTCCATCACTGTGTTTAGGGATTACGTAATGAGAACATCAATCAGTGGCTAATTACCCAGTCTCCTGATCCCCGGAGGCTCAGGGGCACCGGTACACACATCACATGACAACAGACAGGAAGTCATGTGACCAATTAGAGGTATTGCCATAGTAACAAGTAGTGATGGTCGTTGAACTCGTTCCACTACATTCTTGATGAACTTCAGTGTCTACAAATGGCGGGGGAAGATGGAGTTAAGGGGGTTATAATAGTATGTACCGGGGAGAGGGAGGAGGTTGGCTGAGGCAGAGACAGAGCTTGTGAGGCCACCACTTCCATAATTAGTCCCAGCTCCTCCTCCCCGTCTCCTTGGTAACTGGTACCAAACCACGGTCTGAGAGCCAGCTGACGAGAGAGAGAGGAGGAGGTGCAGGGCTGCGAGAGAGAGGGGAGGGTACCAGGAAGGGGTTCTGAGAGGGAGGAAGGAGAGGACTGCGCGGCTGGCAGCAGTCGTGGAAGTATCTCGAGAACAGCTGCTTCACTTTCCTCTTGACAAAGTCGTCTCTGACTGGTCCCAGCTTCAGGAGACCCGTCAGGAACTGCGTGTGGGGTACCCAACAATTAATATAACAACAGGAAACACACAGGCAAGTTCGGGTACCAGGTGCAGATTAGCTCTGGCGGCAGAGGCAGCTCCCTGAGGCTGGGGTCTGGTGTGAGAGTGAGAGGAGGAGGAGGAGAGAGGGAGGATCAGCCAGTCCAACAGACGAGGTAAAAGACAGCGGCTGTCTGTTCGACTGTACGTCAGTCTGGGTGCCATGGAAACCACCAATCCAGCAGTGAAGTAGGCATGTCTGAGAAAAACAAACACATCAGAGGACCATTTGCAAATGTCTCCTGCTAAAGTGGCGGCCGACCTGATGGCAGAAGGACCCCTGGCTCCGCTCACACTGGGCTCCAGGTAGTGGGTCACGTCTCCCAGAACTATCCTCAGTCTCTCTCTCCACTCTCCCTCCAACCCCTCCCATAATTATATACATCTTATGTGCATCACATCATCAGCACAGATCTTCTGGCTTACTGGAATGCTGTACAATGTTTCCATGGCTTCTAGGAGGAGTTTCAGCATGATTATTGGGTCGGAGGGTGTGGCTTTGTTGCCTAGCAATGAAGAAACCATTGGTAGTTTCGGCAGCTGTTGTGTGAGGAGAAAGAGTGAAGATCGTCCAGTGGGTGTGGCCGAAGGGGTGTGGTCTAGCTCTGCCAGGCAGCGAAACCAGATGTGCAGAGCCTGAAGTTGAGCCTTGTCAGTTGACAGGATGTGATGTCGTATGACATCATTCTCGATCACATGACCCAGATAGGCAGCGGCCAGCCTGTGAACAAATTATGATCAATATACCATACCAAAGGTGGGAGCGAGATAGGGGAATAGACTAACAGCGGAGAGACATTGTCTCTAGTTATCTCTTGGTAGAGAGTGTTGCTGAAATTGTGGGTGTGGCTTCTGTGAGAGGTGAGTGCGGTGAGGGCTGCGAGGGTGGAGGAGAGGGAGGAGGGAGGGAGGGGGAGACGAGAGAGGGACATGAGAGGCTGGCTGCAGGTGACCCAGAGCTGATTGACGGCAGGCGAAGAGGAGGAGGAGAGGAGGGTGCACATCGACTCAACTACACCCAACACTCGGGTGAGATGGGCTCCCTCACAAGAGGTCAGAAGGTCAGAGAAGTGGGTGCCTGTGAGAGTGCTGAGAGTGAGGGTGTACGTGGAATAGAATGGAGACAGTCTAACCAATCAGATTCCCGGCCCCGAAGCTCCAGACCAGATTCAATCACCTCTACCGTTCCATCCAAGACCACACCCACTGCCTTCCACTGGTGGTCACGTGACTCTGGTGGGTGTGGTTTGACTAACGAGGAGAGAGCTGGCTGCAGTTTTGCGATGACATCATCCAATCTTTCTTTCTTCTCCAGCAAAACAAGCATCATAGCAAACATAGCTGCAGTGACACCAGGATAAGGCACACCTCGTGGACACCAATGAACACCTCTCCAGAAGAGAACCGATGATTCCACAGCCTCAGCCAGTCCAGAATGGGTCAACAGAGCCACTGTCTTCAGTGCCTACAGCACAGCAGAGAAGGTGAAGGTAACTATTCTGAACTGAGTCACTGATAATGGGAGTATTGGAGACAAGAGAAGGAAAGAGAAATCTCACCACCTCCCTGGAGTCCCCAGCCCACGCCAGGCTCAGTAGGAGAGACAGAACTCTCTGCAGCCCCGCCCCTTTCCTCTCACCCAGCCATCGACGATGTATCTTGGAGTAGAACCTGTAGCAGACCACAGAGTAAGAAATGAGCGGTTGCACTGTTTCTACGACTTACCTTCCCTTTAGTGATCGCCAGGTTCTCCCCTCGTCGTCACTGGTCTCCATGGTAACACATATTAGCTGGAGAAAAAGCTGGAAGCTGTTAAGGTCGGTATGGGAATGGGACTGCGTGTTAGTGGAACGGAATATAGACACCAGGTGTCTGAACCAGCGACTTGGCAAAGACCTGAACGCAGAGAGATAAGTGAGGAAACTGGTTGTTGGAGCAACTCACCCTTCAGGACTGGCCCATTCACTTATAGCAGCTGTCCCAGTTACAAACTGGTCATCCTGCATTAAAACAGGAGGTCCCAGATAAGTCTAATTGGTGAGAATGGACTCACAATGTGTCTGTGGAAGAATTCCCATGCGGAGAGGCAGGGGAGGGAGGAGGCGGGGGGCCAGACGTGGGCCAGAGACACACACCCCTTCAGAGCCATCCTCAGCTGGGCCTCTCTCACTCCCTGCAACAGGGAAATCTCTCAATATGGGACACTTGGGTACCGAAAGTGTCCTTTGTTCAGAGGGTGTTTACTGAGGTATTGGGACTGACTTGTTTGAAGGTAAGCGGCAGTAGATGGTGGACGAGGTCCCAGTGCGGTACAAACCCTCCATCTCCCTCCTTCTCCCTCCCATCTTCCGTCCAGACATACAGTTGAGACACTTGCTCCACACACCACCAGCCAAACAACACCGGGTCACTGGGGCATATTAACACAGGCTCTAGGGAAACAAACATTACATCATCAATTAAGAAACAAACTAAAGTGTGCACTATATAGAAATGTCCCATGCGTGGCAATGCATAAAAAAAGAAAAATGCATGTTATGCACCATTTCATCTATCCATCGATTATTTTAGGCGAACAAAATGTTTATGATGTCATACATACCGTCAGATGGGTGTGGCTGGGTGGGAGTGATAGTCTGGCAAACAAGAGAGCTCAACACAGTCCAGAATGACTGAGGAGAAAAAGACGAAGTGAAGATGACACAGGGTGTCCTAAGAGAGTGGTTCTACACCATAGTGGTAGAGCTCACAGTGACAGGAGAGTTGTCCAGGGAATGTCTGATCAGGATCCAGAGACCTCTGAGACAGACACAGCCAGGGAGAGAGGAGGGACAGGGTGAGGAGGAAGAGAGAGGGATGGAGGCAGCGTGGGAGAGAAGGCAGGAAAGAGTGAGGGAACACTGCTCCAAAAACCACCTCCAGCCTGAGGAAGACAAACATCACTACTTCAACTCAAGGCTATGAACAACATACACACTCCATATTATAAATGAGCTCACCAACAAGTGGAGCTAGTCTGTAGGTTACGGCAATTGATGTCCAGTGAACGTGGAGTGAGAGTCTAGTCATGTGACTGTCACATGACCTCAGGTGACCAGAGGAGAGAAGCAGCTGTGGTAGTGGCTGGAGATGAGTGACAAGGAGTCTGCACCAAGTCAGTAGTCTCTCTGCCTCAGCAATGGCTGCCTCTCTCTCCAGCTCTGATCGGAGGACGACATATCTGGAGAGATATGGAGACCTTACATACTTGCTAAGGGCTACTACAACCACTGACAAGTGTTTTGGAGGGAGGGGTTTTGTGTAAACAGGTTTGCAAATAATGGTAGTGGAGATGAGGTTCATCACCTGTGGCAGTAGACCTCAAGACAGTGGAGCCACTCCACACATCTCTCAACCTCCTCCCTCTCTCTCTCTGCAGGTCAAGTAGTCAGGTGGCTGTCATGTGACAAGGGTGGAGTCTCATGTGAGGTTTTACCGGAGGTCGCGAGGTCCTCTAAAGAGTTGAGTGACTGAAGGAAGAGGAGGAGGGAGGTTTGGCTGGAGAACGAGGAACTGAACACATTTGGATGTCCACAGAGTCTGACACAGACTCCTGTGAAGGCATGGGGCAGCGGGTCTTCTCTTGCCAGCAACCTGCAGCGGATCACGTGATCCTCAGACCATAAAACAACAAGAGTTATCACCTGGTCAGCATCCCAGCAGCGAGAGGAGAGTGGGCGCCAGAGGAGCAGTTTATCAGCGGCAAGACGGCCGCATCACCTCCTCCTGTAACCCACAGCATATCCAGCTAGGCGCAATCAATGAAAACAAGCCTTACCTTTTGCACGCGCCATTGCAGACCCGAGGGGAACCCCCTTGCTGACTCAGCATTCCTGTTAGCCCAGCCCATTAATTAAAGATCATAGAATCTCTGCGTATAAATGTCGGGAGAGGCAGTAATGAACTGTACGAGAGTGGACCACGACACTGTGGAGTGTGGCGGGAAGGAATACCATCTGGAGGAGCTCCTGGAGCCCACGGACGGCGTGTTCTGGGCCTACCTCCTCACCTACCTGGCCTTAGTCTTGTTCGCAGGTCTCTGGTTCTCAGACTGTGGCGTGTCGTGATAGTTGTCGTCTCTCCGCAGGACTCATGTCAGGTCTGACGATGGGCCTTCTCTCTCTGGACATCATGAGTTTAGAGGTGCTCAAGAGAGGAGGCAAACCTCACCAGCAGGTACTGTCTCAACAACACTCTAATTAAAGAACACCTCTTATAGGGCTTGGCCCTATACGAATGTTACCTGTGAATTAGGGACACCTCACCAGCAGGTATACCTTCGAAAAAGTATCATCTGAAACTCTCTATAAAGACACTTCGCCTTTACCATCTCTCTCTCTCCAGAGGTATTCCACGCGCATCCTGCAGTTGGTAAAGAGACATCATCTGTTGCTAGTTACTCTCCTCCTGGCCAATGCCGTGGCAGTGGAAGCCATGCCAATCTTTTTGTCAAAGATAACTTCTGAGGTGGTGGCTGTCGTCGTCTCTGTGACTGCAATCCTCATATTTGGAGAGTGAGATATTCTAGTCACCCTTTTGCTTCTCTCCATAAACCTCTCCTCTTTCTCTCTCTACCTCTCTCTCTTCTTCCTGATTTGCTTTTGATTCACCAACCAATACAATAATGTATCTTGCTGGCATCATCCTCAGGCAAGGAAAGTGATTTTCTAGCTACAAAGAAAGTAGCCAGCCTGCAGTTAATGATGTTCCCACTCCTTTCTCACTCTCCAGGGTTGTACCTCAGGCAATCTGCACGCGGTTTGGTCTGGCCATTGGCTATTACTTCTCTCCTCTGGTGTGGCTGCTGCTAGTTCTCCTCTTCCCAATCTCCTTTCCCATCGCTCTCCTACTGGACAGGATCCTGGGAAAAGATCACAACACATTCTTCAGGAGAGCTGGTATGCAGCACTGTCTCTTTCTCTCTTACTGTCTGTCAACTTTGGTTGTCATAGAACTGAGGGAACTAGTCAAAATGCACGGATCACATGATAATGAAGAGCCCCTCAATCAAGATGAGGTAATGATGATGTCATCATCTGTGTACTGTGCAACTGTGTATTGTTGTGCTTTAGGTGTTGATTGTCAAGAGTTGTCTGGAGATGAGAGACAAGGTAATGATGTCGTTTGTCACTATAAATAGCACACATGGTCACTGCAGGTTGTGGAAGGGATCATGACGCCACTGGAGAGTGTGTTCATGTTGAGTTACGAAGATTGCATTGACAAGAAAACCATGAACAATGTCAGTCCACGTAATATTCACTCTGACGTATATACAACAGCTCCACACTCCATAGATCGTGGTGCAGGGCCACTCTCGTGTCCCTGTGTACAGAGAGACAAGAGACAACATTGTGGGGATGTTGTTAGTGAAGAGGCTGATCCACCTGGACCCAGATGACTGCACGCCAGTGGCCAATCTGGAAGGAGCCAACATTCCTCCCCCCTCCTGCCACACCTCCATGCCTCTGTTTGACCTACTCAACCAGTTCCAGACTGGCAGAAGTTAGTCTCCTCCTCATCGCTCTCAACTCAGTCCAAAATACTTACCATTCCACACTTTTTTTTACAACCTATACATTTTGGTTTGCCAGCAGCATTTTCATGTCAGAATCCTCCAACAAGTTTCATCTCTCTCCTGCAGGTCACCTGTACCTGGTGTATAAGGATGGAGAAGATGGAGTTTCAGAGGTAGGCCTCACACAATGAATGAGACCACACCCCTTGCTCCACCCCCTACAGCCGAAGCTGGTTGGGATCATCACTCTGGAAGATGTGATTGAAGAACTCATTGGTGAGGAAATAGTGGATGAAACCGATGTCTACGTCGACGTCCACAAGTAAGCCACACCCACTACATATGATCTCTAATTGGTGCCCACCCCATGTTGCAGGCGTATTGCAGTGGCTCGAGCCAGACTAAAGTTTCTGAAACAGAGTGTGTCGGCTCCTCCAATTGGAGCCCACCATACTCCACCCCTCGCTCGCTCCCGCCACCAATGGCAACGAAGTATGTCGCAAGACTCCCAGCCGGCATCCACCAAGACAGAGGTTAGCTCCTCAATCAACTTGTCATCATTACATCATAATTATGTCGTCGTTATGATTATTACAGGACGGAATGAGGAGTGGTGCAGTGTCTCCTCCAAGCAGAATTCTATCTGTGGTAGCTGAGGTTGAGGAAAGATCTCTGGCCACACCCACCAGTAATAAAGGGGTGGAGTCACCACTGACCACACCCACCACAGGGGCTGGGTCAGTCAATAGGGAGGAGTCAACTCAGGGTATGGATGTAGAGTCAGAAGCAGAAGGAGATGACGATACACTGCCACTAATATAAACCACCCATCATTCTCTGTTGCGTCCATGCTGTGCTTCAAAGAACAATATTTTGTAGAACTTGTGATATTGTGGCAACACAAATAATGTGGGGGTTTGACTCAATACATGGTCAGTATGGGAAATAGACTTTGACAGCCATTTGTGTCCTGGTGCGACAAATGGGGCAGCGAGATATCTGTGAGGAGCATTCTTCACACACACAGATGTGTCCACAAGGTACAAACACCATCTCCAGAGGCCTGTCCATACATACCACACACTCCCCTCCCACTGGCAGGGAACTCGGCTGCTGCATATGAGGTAACAATTACATATTAGAGGAATGCATGCTGACTGTGCAACTCTACTAAAATTCACAACTTGTGTATATAGCCAAGGGGGAAATCCCCATTTCTCATGCATGTATGCTGCAATTCCAGGCAAGCTTGCAACATGCCAAAGGCCAGTCACTACAAGTAAACTAATAATCCCCTTGTTACCAGGTTCTGCACCTACTCATTGAACACCCAGCCAAGCCCTATATAACCTAAACCTGGAAATCACCTTGCTGGTCTCAGCAGAAGCCATGGAGGTCCCCAGGGAGTAAGAGGGTACATTGTTACCACCAACAGCACCAGGAGGAGAAGAGGGGTAAGGTGAGGGGTCATAGGAAGACATAGTTTTGGAGAGAGAGGAAGGCTGAGACATGGAGTGGTAGCCAGAGGATGCATGAAATGACGGAGGAGGTGCAGTGGAGAGGGGAGAGTGAGGAGTGAGGGAGTGAGGTTGAAAAGAACTGAGGGTGTGAGGATCAGAAAGGGAGAGCCCAGCGAGGGAGAGGGTGTCAGTAGGGGAATGTGAGGTGAGGGTGGGTGGCTGGAGAGCCATCATTTCAAGCTCCCTCTCATCAAACTCGGCAGCGGGCAGAGTGCTGGGGTCAACTGGCGCAGGGGAACTCAGTTTACTGGGGAACCTTTCCGCTAGGAATGGGCAGTTAGGACTGGCTCCACGATGTTTCTCAACAGCTACATCTCCGTCCACCCAACCATGGAGGACCACCTCACAGCTGTGGCACTTCATCACATCCGGCAGTCTCAGGAGGAAGAGGCCTGCCTCAGCCAGCGTCATTCGAGGGATGGGGAACGCTGGAGATAGCTTCTTGAATGACTGAAATCTGATATTCAGATCAGAGTAGTTGGGTCGGTTGGCGGAGTCCGTAGCCATTGTCTTGAGGATGGGGGCTGGCGCTCTCTCTGACGAGGAAGACCCTTCAATTATTGACTTGATGAAGGTGCATTCTGGGTTGGCACGGCAATGAACAAGGAGAGGGACATCTCCTCTTCTCCAATCTCTTACCTCCAGTCCACAGGAGAAGCATACAACCTTTGTCCCCTCCCCGGTGTAGAAGAATCCGACACTGGCAAGTTGGTACGAGGTGACAACAGAGGAAAGTGGCCAGTTGGAGTAGGAGTGGAGTCGGAGTGAAGTATTGGAGTATTGTGCCTGCTGGGAGCTGGGGGACGGGGTAAGTGACTCCAGCAGGTCAGGGAAATCTTGACGAAGGAAGGCACAATTGGGGCGGGCATGACAGTGAAGAACTAAGGCCTCCTCCTCCCCCCACTCCTCCAGCTGAACTCCACAGGAGAAACAGCGGACCCTGTCCTCCATGCCTGTGTAGTAGAGGCCTGCTCTTGCCAGCTCCTCTGGTCTCGGCAGGCTGTGGGGCCACTCCCTCCTGGCAAATGTGCCAATCCTAACATCAAACCTCCGCAGGTCGACTCGTGAGGAGTTGTTGGGATGGTCAGTATGGTTCGTGTCATCTCTCTCTCGTGACCTCAGTCCCACTGGAAGCTGGAGGGCCACCACCTCAGCCCCACGTACGCTCAGCTCATTCCTGACCTGTGCATGAGAGATTGTCACATGGCCTATGATCTCACACCTCTGACATAACTGTACCTGACAGGGTCTGGGGTGATGGGAGACACTTCCTTTTCTATCCACATGTTTCACATGCTCTCTCTGTTCTCTCTGTTTACTGAGAATTGCTGTGTATTTCTCTCTCTGGTGTGGAAGATGTCCTCTGCCAGTCACACCTCTCTGCAGTTCAGAGGAGCTGATATCCTCCGGTGAAGTCTGGCATGGAATTAAAAGTTGTCTCCCGATCACCAGGCAACCGTGAACCTCATCTTTCTCCACTTTCTCCCCTTCTCCGTCGCTGCACGTTCTATCAAACATCAATAGAGGAGGAGGCGAGGGAGGACGGTCCCAGCCGAGCTCGGTCTCCAAATAGCTCTCTGGTATCGATAACGTCCGTGTACGGCGGGGAGAGGCGGCCATCGCCTCCGAGATCGGAGTACGAGGCTAAAAATCGTTCACCGCGCACTCTGTGTGTTTTATATAGAACGGTTTATTTATACCTTATTCCTTATATGGGGCACATAATACCTTGCGCAACTGTTGTGTGCGGGAGCATTGCTAGGCAACCAAACAATTATGGCGGAAACAACGTCCAAGGTTGTTGGGCTGCTGAATCGTCCAGAGTACCATCAGGCCGTCTCAGTACTACAGGTGCGAGGTGTACAGCTCCATTGCGGCTATGTATCATTAGTGTTTGTCGAAGTCTCTGCACAAAGGACAGAGGAGTTCCCTGAGAGCCCCAGTCTGCCAGCCAATGATGGAGTTTCAGTGGACTCACTGGCTGACTCAGAGTAAGAAGGTGAAGTGACGCCTATTCTCCAGAGGCTGACTGGAGCAATGTTCAACAGGAGGTTGGAGGAGAGGCTTGGGGCTACGAGGAACCAGTGGCAGTGTTTGTCGGAGGACACCTTCTGCTGGGGGGCCTGGCTGAGCTCCTTCGCTGGGCGGCTGAGTCGTTTGGCTACCGTGACTCTCTCTCTCTGACTGACTACCAGACAAAGGCCACTCAGGCATACAATGATCATATCTCTAACCCAGAGGTATGACTGACAACTGTTTGCCAAAGCAATCCATTTACAAGCTGAAATGACATGTGATGTTTTTATTTAACATAACTGTTTCAAATTGCCCTGGGTCCTGTGTACACAACAGATGAACAGGTTTCACTATTTTATCTTTTTCCACAGCGAGACTATGTGTTCATGGATGTGTGTGTCGAAGGCGATCTGATTGGTCGACTGGTGATGGAGCTTGACACCAACCTGTGTCCTCGAACTGCCTGCAATTTCCTCAGCCTCTGCACGGGAGAGAGATCTGAGGGAGTGAGGGAGAGCAACTCGGAAGAGGAGAAGGCTCCGAGAATGAGTTACGTCAATTCTCTCATCCACAGAGTTGTTCCAGGAGGATGGATACAGGGTGGAGGTTAGCCCCCACCACTCACAAGTCTCCCAATCAGATTAGGTTCAAAACTTAGATATATGTGGAGGGAAAGGCAGTGGAGGGACCTCCATCTATGAGAAGGTATTTGAAGGTAAGTTTCAATTCCCATGTGTCTGTCAGCTGGTGCAGCCCATGACTCTGCTAATTTAGCTAGAATTTCCATAATCCCACAGATGAGTGCTATGCAGTGTCTCACTCCAGTCCAGGAGTGCTGGGAATGGCCAATCACGGTCGCAATACCAACAGCTCTCAGTTTTACATCACTCTAGCCCCAGCTCCCTGCACTGGGGAAATGGTAGCTGTTCGTGTGTTTCATTCGTGGAGTGGGGGTTGCTGAGGAGACACGCCACTGACGAGAACAGCAGTTGTAGCTGCATGATCAGTTGTGTCTATGGTAGGCATGGCCCACTCATTGTCAGAGCTGTGACAGCTGACGTCTGAGTCGAACTGTTCTGGAGACGGACTGCGACTGGGGATTCCAGGGACTGGGGAAGAAGATCGGGTATTAGGGGAGGGTCTTTGCTCATGTAGCTCGTTTACAGAACCTTGTTGACACCCGGGTTCGATGGCCGAGGAAACCTGTTCACATTGAGGGGACGGCAACTGTTCAAGTCTTTCCCTTGTGATGAATGCAATAGTCAAATAGCCATGAGCTGTAAGCTATCATGTTGAGGTTGCACATTACCAGGAAAAGTTTATAGCGTGATGCGTAAAAACCTTATGCCTCAACTGTACCCATTTTCTGTGCAGTGAACTAGAACCAAGTATATAGCATCAATAGCAGAACTGACTACACGTGTTTTACCTACGCTCTCTCTCTCCCTATCTCTCTTCAGTCCAACAAAGGCTCAACGGAAGTGGAGGCTTTGTTCAAGAAACGCTCGTATAGAACTGCTTAGCAGTCATCTCCATAATCATTAATTACTGCCCTAATAACAGGGGCTCCTCCTCGTTTTATTCAGTGGTTTGTACATATTGTCATTTTTTGAGTGTGTCACTTGCACAATTTTCAATCGTTCAAAAGAATTTTCAATGTTGTATTCGTCTTCTCTGTGTGAAGGTTATAAGATGTTATTATTTTTCATTTGTGGAAAGTTAAACTCTTTCAAATTGAATGGACGTTGTACTGTTAATTGTTAATCATTTTATAGTTTTCTGCAAGAAACTACTGCAAGAGACTGCAGCACATAAACAATCTTAAAATTCACGCCATTTTTAGCGAGTGAAGCCCCTCCCCCCCTCCCGACTGACACTGCCCACCAGTGTTCAGTGCGCACACAACCATGCATTCTCTCAATGGTATGTGAAGTCCGTGTTATATAGCATCCACATGCACAGCACGTGCCACAGTGAAAAAAAGTGATATTTAGGAGCAAATACACATTGTGTTATAAATTTTAGGAGCAAAACTGAGCACTGATTGGGAGGTAAAAGTGGTACAAAAGTAACTGGTGAAAAAGGGGAAAATCTTTAACCCTTTCAACACCATAAATCAGTGCTATTAGAGTAAGGCACTTCAATGAGCCGTTCAAATAATTAGCATTACATTGGGAGGTAAAAGTGGTACAAAAGTAACTGGTAAAAAGGGTAAAAATCTTTAACCCTTTGGATGCCATATATGTATCTCCTTAAATAAGATTGATTAGAGAAATTGATGTATTACATTTTAACGCCTAGTATTATAGTATTACATATATGTAGCTTGCTAAGGGTTAATCCAAGGAGGGGAGGGGATGGAGTGATAATTATTGTTACCTTTACATTGAATCACTACAAGGCTCAGCAAGGTAGGGAAAGTGAAGTGGACCATTGCTGCCTTCTTCTTTATCTGAAGTGCTGTCAGTGTTAGTTGGCACCTGAGGCCCGGGAACCTGCCCGAGAACTTGTGCGTGAGGTCCGGGAACCTGCGCGTGAGGCCCTGGAACCAGCTCATCATGTTGTGGTTCTTCTCCTGACAAAAAGGCAGAGTCAGAGCTGGCACACGAGGGAGGTGGGGAGGGAGGTGGAGAGGAAAGGTTTTACGCAGGTAAGGAGGGAGGGTCAGGCGCGGGTGGCAGAGTTGAGGGACGCAGGAAATGGAACGGCTGTACTGCAGGTGGCAGGGTTTGAGGAGGAGAGGGAAAACACGGTTGAGGCAGAGTAAGAGGGACAACCGGGTACTGCTGGAGCTTTTGTGGGGGGGTTAGAGTAGGTAGAACGAAACACGGATGCTCATGGGAAGGAGACTGACTCTCATGGGGAGCTACAAATGGGGATTCCGACACTCTTTTGCCACTGTCACACTGGTCTTCCTCCTCTTCTTCTTCTCCCTCCTCTTCCTCGTCGTCATCCTCCCTTGCACTGTCGTTCCCTTCGTCGTCTCTTCCATCTTTACCACCACCTCCCTTTCTTCCTCCTCCCCCGGCCCCTCCCACTCCAGCTGCTCCCCCCGCTGAACCGCCACTGCCACCACCCACAGTCGCTCCTCCACTGTCCCCCTTCACCTTGTCCTTACCTCCACACCCTCCCCCACTCGCTCCCCTTCCCCCAGATGATTTGTCACCAGCAGTCACTGGCACCATCCTTCCACCGTACTGGCTCCTGACATCGACTTCAGGTAGCAAATAAACTGATGAGTTTTGCTTGTAAACGGACTGCTGATGAAGAATGCTGGTGAAATAAGGTGACGTGTGGACTGAATCAACGGGCTGAAGTGGCAACGGAGTTTGGGGTAAGCGTTGAGATGGAGCTCGCAATTTGTGCGTTGAATTGCTTTGGTTGCCCTCTTTCACAGCTCTCACGACTCGATTCCCACCTCGAACGTGTAAATCGATTTTGAAGGCAGCAACTTTTGACGGATTCGACATATCATTTCCAGAGACACACAGACACTGGGCACTCTGCCCGTCTGTCACCATCACTAGGCTTGTTGCTCGGTGGTATATTTCTGATCCATTTCTACTTGTGGTTTCAGTTGGGGTGAATCCTCAATCACGGAAGTACTTTCACAAAATTTGCCCCCCGTTGTGGCGTTCGCGGTTCAGTTTTATTGGGGTATTTTTACTCGAAAAAGCGTCCTCGTACATTTTCCTCAGTTTCTGTGTAGGGGCGGTTCAACATTTGTGGACTGGAGACCTGTTCATTGACTTTCTCGCTGGATGTTCTGCTGTTTGTCTGGAGGTGGTGGGGGAATCGTTTGGAGATCGGTTTGTCGAAGATGCGGCGCTTGTGATTTCAGGTTGATTGGGATGTTTTTCGAGTGTGTTCTAACTTTGAAGCATTGGTCAGTTTGTTAGCGCTTGCGAAGCCTCTCGCATTGATTGTAGAGCTCTGGTGTGAGCGTTGTTGAAATGTACCGATGTTTCCGGCCATCAAAAAGAGCCACACACACATTAATGCACTACATTTAATGCACTAGAGACTGCATAATGCCAGACACACAATGTTCAGCAGCAAAGCTACAGACGAGCTAGCAGACGATAGCTCATCTCACCTTGCTTGAGTCGGATGACAGCTACCGCGCCGATTCTGGCTTCGCCGCACGCTGCTGGTACGGGGCGTTGTGAACAAGTAGCCGAGCAGACGCGTGCAGATCAGCGTAAGTGTGCTGTTGGATCACGGTCCTGACATGCAGTAGTAGTTATCTTTTTCTCTGCGCGTACATATGTGAACCGCTACAGTTTTCTTTCGGCCCCGCAGCGACGCCTGCTTTTATTCGCGCGAAACGGAAATTGTGACGACAACCGCCCCGGCCCCCGTAGAACCTTGCGCGCAACTGTTGTGTCCGGGAGCATTGCTAGGCAACCCACCAGTGATGGCGGAAACAACGTCCAAGGTTGTTGGGCTGCTGAATCGTCCAGAGTACCATCAGGCCGTCTCAGTACTACAGGTGCGAGGTGTACAGCTCCATTGCGGCTATGTATCATTAGTGTTTGTCGAAGTCTCTGCACAAAGGACAGAGGAGTTCCCTGAGAGCCCCAGTCTGCCAGCCAATGATGGAGTTTCAGTGGACTCACTGGCTGACTCAGAGTAAGAAGGTGAAGTGACGCCTATTCTCCAGAGGCTGACTGGAGCAATGTTCAACAGGAGGTTGGAGGAGAGGCTTGGGGCTACGAGGAACCAGTGGCAGTGTTTGTCGGAGGACACCTTCTGCTGGGGGGCCTGGCTGAGCTCCTTCGCTGGGCGGCTGAGTCGTTTGGCTACCGTGACTCTCTCTCTCTGACTGACTACCAGACAAAGGCCACTCAGGCATACAATGATCATATCTCTAACCCAGAGGTATGACTGACAACTGTTTGCCAAAGCAATCCATTTACAAGCTGAAATGACATGTGATGTTTTTATTTAACAAATTTTCAAATGCCCCTGGGTCCTGTGTACACAACAGATGAACAGGTTTCACTATTTTATCTTTTCCCACAGCGAGACTATGTGTTCATGGATGTGTGTGTCGAAGGCGATCTGATTGGTCGACTGGTGATGGAGCTTGACACCAACTTGTGTCCTCGAACTGCCTGCAATTTCCTCAGCCTCTGCACGGGAGAGAGATCTGAGGGAGTGAGGGAGAGCAACTCGGAAGAGGAGAAGGCTCCGAGAATGAGTTACGTCAATTCTCTCATCCACAGAGTTGTTCCAGGAGGATGGATACAGGGTGGAGGTTAGCCCCCACCACTCACAAGTCTCCCAATCAGATCAGGTTCAAAACTTAGATATATGTGGAGGGAAAGGCAGTGAAGGGACCTCCATCTATGGAAAGGTATTTGAAGGTAAGTTTCCATGTGTCTGTCAGCTGGTGCAGCCCATAATTTAGCAGACTCTGCTAATTTAGCTAGAATTTCCATAATCCCACAGACGAGTGCTATGCAGTGTCTCACTTCAGTCCAGGAGTGCTGGGAATGGCCAATCACGGTCGCAATACCAACAGCTCTCAGTTTTACATCACTCTAGCCCCAGCTCCCTGGATGGACAGACAGTATGTGGCCTTTGGGTAAGTCCCACAGCCTCTCTGTTGCAGCACTGGACTGTCCCTGTCTGTCAGGAGGGTGGTGGAGGGAAGTCGGGTCCTCCAGAGATTGGCTGGACTGGAGACCAACAATGAAAGACCTCTCGAACGCTGCCAGATTTCCAACTGTGGACGTCTCTCTCCCCTCACATCTTAACACTCCTCACACCCCCTTCATTATCATTCTATACATTCTCAGACAAGAAGGAACGTTTAGAGTGATAAAATTTGTGCTCAAGGACACATGTTATGCACACGCAACAGAAGAACTATTCCGAACTATGCTTGTCATAATATTTAATCGTGTCGTGATGGCACTGCTCTCGACCAATATTGCTGCACTTTATTTCCCCTTTTTGGTGAAGTATTCAGCTGCATGCAAGATATCAGAGATGATGTCACAGCCTATAGGTTCAGATACGCTCACCCAACATCTCCACGCACTCTGCACACACAGCAGGAGACATGGTCGAGGAGTAGCTGCCAAACACTATGAACTGCCCACTCACGGCAGCCACAAATCCTCCCGTCTTCTGCACGAGCATTAGATTATGAAAACAGCCTGGTTCTTTGTCATCGATAAGACCAAAAAATCCTTGTGTTAATTATCACCTTCTTTCCGTAGATGGCCCACTGATCAGCTCTGACGCATGTATACGAGGCTCCATTGAACTGGACACCGTGTTCTCTGGCGCTGGCTGGGTCGCTCACTGCGACAGAGATGGCTCTCAGGAGCTCCTCCGAGGGTTGGTAGGCCAGAGACGTTGCTTTCAACGCTCCGTCTCTCCTCCTCAGCACCGCCGCACACTCCACGTGTCCGCTTCCGACCAACTGAGACTGTATAACCAACTGCCAGGGATTCTGCAGCGCTGCATGCATGCAAGTTGGATCTAAACTCGCTTCACTTGACACTCACCCATTAGCTCAGCTTTAGCGCTGGTTGGGAAAAGTGGGGCGGGGCTGAGTTGTTTCCATAGCAACGTTGCATGCACGTCGACTGCAACTGAGATGACTGATGGTGGAAGCATTGAGATTCACAGCCCGGGAACCTGCCGGGAGCTTCTTTTGCTTGGGCAAGAGGAAGAGAGCGACGGGCGTATGCTAGCTACAGGGACTGCTCTGGAGGCAGGCAACTTGGTATGTGCTATCTACTGTCGTAGCTAAGTGAAAGCAGCAATAGGCCTACTGTTGGTAAAATATGGGGTGTTTAATTTCCCTTGTGTGTGGTAGCTATGTGTGAGCAAAATGTCCAAAGCAATCGAAAACTCTTGCTTCTGTCCTGAAAGAGCTCTGCCTTATGTCACCTCATAACTGCATCAGTAGGCCTGCCCGGCTATCATTTCCTTTGCTGTGTATTAACAAAATTCTGAACCCAGGGATCTCCACAGCGATTTATCTGTAGAGACGGTTGTCGTACATGGAGTCATGAGTCAGGTTGTCGACTCTCCAGAACTGTCAGTAGAGACATGGGACGAGTATCAAGGATGTCTTCAGCTGCACAGATGGCAAATGTCCAGTCTTGGCTCAGCAGGAAAGCTCGCCGAGCAGTTTTGGTAGCTTTCAGCCTTCTGTTGTTGAACTACACTTGCGGCATTCTCTCCTCTCTGAAGGTCTTGCCAGAGGCCCCAGAGGTTGCAGGGGTGGAGCAGCTCATCCAGTCCCTATTGGACCAAGAGCACCAGCTGATTTCAGTGAGACCTATTATAAGCTCCGATTGCCTGGCACAAGTGAAATATCTCTGTCCCTCAGGAGCTGGAAGCCACTGCCTCTAGTCAAGCCAGTGAGGCTGCCTGCAAGAGAGAAATGCTCTATCACAAGTGGAGCAGTCGTGTGTTTTCACCTCTCCACAACCAAATCACCAGGGTGATGGGTGGAAACAGGTTCAAGGATATTGAGAGAGAGAAACGAAGACTTTTCCAGAACTACATCAACTACTGCAACAAACAGGTTCAGTTGGCGGCTCTGTAGTGTGCCGTCCATGAGGCTTCCTTTACTGCAGAGAGTTTTTCTAGATACAGTGAGTGGTTCAGATTACAACCCTCTATTACTCACTGACCGACACACACAAGTACTGGTCAGTTCTCTTCTTCCCAATTTTCATAGTGTCATGATCTCTCTATCGTAAGAAGGCTGTTACTGGAGAATTGGACGACCCACTGCTGACTCAGCAAATTGAGAGAGCCCATGAGACCCAGATAATCACTGGTAGTCTGCGTGAGGAGGAGGGTGAGGTGGCAGAGAGGGGGCTGGACGCTGTGAACTGGCTGGCTCTTCAGCTGGTTGATGTTGACAGCGATGCTCGACAAAGGTCTCGGTCAGTTACCATACCCACTGCTCTACCCAAATTAATAGAGCTCCTTCCCTATCCACAGCCTGCGAGTTCAGCGAGATCATAATAAAAGGCAGAGTGGTGGAGGACACCTTGTTCTACCCCACAAGACACCAGCCACACCCCCTCGTAATCCCCTCTCTCTCAATTGGCCTGAACCAACAGAATTATGATACTGTGTTATGCAATAAAAATGTGCTATCAAGTTTCTGTAGGTTTGCTCCACCTGGGAATGTACACAAGCATGTGGGGGAGAGTGGGAGGAATGTACAATACAGTGAACCTTACTCGTGTCTGGCCCAGCGCCCTAGCTGTATGAGCTGTGCTGTCTCGTTGGCGAAATGACAGGCAAAGAGTAGCGGGTTCGGTGGCCCAACTCTGATAGCAAACCTCATGAAGAGAGCAGAGTATATGCAGAGGGCTGCAGAAAAAAGCAGCTGCCAATATTCTTCACCAGTAGTCATGGTTACTGACCAACTGTCATCTTAGGACTAATGAAGTCTGGATCTTTCTTCATGTCCGCGAAGGCGGCGAGGGGAAGTCCCCAGTTAGCCACCGGACCCCAGAAATGCTGTGTGTGAGGAATATGACCAGCTAGTGAAAAGCTCGCGGCCATGGTTCCCAACTCACCGTGCTGGGTAAACAGCGTCACAGAAGTAGGCAGCGGGAGAAAATATCACGTCAAAATGCGCTTCAATCAAATGACTGTACCTCATGAGGTATTGTCTGAACTCCTTGCTGCGGAGGGAGCTCCATAGTTGCCTGCTGTAGCGAGAAACCAGTGACATCGATAGCTATCCCCCAGCAGCCCCAGAGAAAAAGATAATGCTGACTCAACAAACAGTGCGCTTAGATAGCTAGCTAGCTATGTGTACGTACGCGCCCACCTCGTGGTGTGTGGCATGGAACAGTTCTGCTCAGCAGCTGACAGTTACCGAGCAGGGAGACTGGTGGAGTGCAAGGACCGCCTTTTGGAAGGTAGCACGTGTAATCTGTGGCCTTGCTACACCGTCCACTGGACCTGTCTTCAGTGCAGCTCCAAGGTTTCAGTCGAGTGCAGTGGTATCTGGACTGCAACCTCTTGACTTGCCGTTTCCAAGTTTGTCATCTTTTCTACTTCCCCTGTGGCCTATGTACGTGTTTTGTCCACGTTTTGTCTGCACCAGGAGCTGTTGCAGAAAGGGGGAGGGAGGAATGAGGTGCAGGGAATTCTCCTGGGCTATGAGCGACTGTGGAAGAAGATGACAGGTAAGGCATCAGTTCTTCCCGGGATCCTTGCTCCCTGCCTTCCTCCCCAGGCGTGGCTCCTGGTCCCTTTAGTCTGAGTGTGGAGCTAACTGTGGTCTTGTCACTCTGTCAGCTGCACACCATTCTCCACAACTGGAGCATGCTGAGACCACTCATATTCACCGCCATCAATAGAAGTTTGACTGAACAGAAATGTTCTGTTCGATTTATATCAGTTTGTTTCTTTCCACAGTCAGTCAAGTCAATCATTCCTCTTACTCGTCCCGATCACTAGATACTGTTGATGTCGAATCATGTATGTTTTTCTTGATTCGTTCATTGTGGATTCGTTCATTGTGGTGGTGTCAGTTGGAGATGTGTCAGTAACATGTGTGGAGAAGCTGAAGGTGATCAGCGCCCTGCAAGAGGCAGTAGAGAGGGGGGAAAAAGAAAGTATCTCAAAGGCTATTTATGCTCACAGCCACTGGCTCAATGGAAACCAGGCAGAGTATGCCTATAAACAAGGTAGTTAAACCTCGGCAGGAGGGTTACAGTACTTGGTCAGTGTGTCTGTCTGTCTGTCCGTTTGTTCGTCTGTTGAACGAATACTCTTGCAAACTATCTGAGCTGAAAGAGGGTTTGCCTTATGTAACCTTACGTCAGGTTCATTTGGATTTTGCAGCCCATCATTTAGAGGTACCGCTCATGTGCAGTTTGCTGGGGGTTTGCACTTTAGTGCTTTTTCATTATCAAAGCATTCGTCGTAAACATGTAACTTTTGACTATTTTCCTGTAGCCTGGGTACAGTATAGTAATGAAGACTACCACTCTTCTCTGGGCACACTCTCCTCTCCTCCTCTCTCCCCTCCTCCCCTTACACTCTCTCCATTTGTCCACCTCCTCTGTGGGGCCTGCCACTCCAAGCTGGTTAGCTTCTGTCACTACCACATGCCAGTGTTGGTTTGCATGTCAGAATGTGAGAAAACCCACTCTGTATTCTGTATCACTGCTCTTCACAGGACCACCCAAACCTGGCACTTCTCCACTGGAGAAGGTCCATGGAGACAGGCCACACCCCAAACCACACCCCATTTCTTGCTAGTCTTCATAACTCTGCTATAGCATACACTGCGATGGGGAACACTGTAGCTGCCGTGGCAACAAGAAGACTGGAGATTGAGGTATATATTTGTCAGGCTCAGTTTGCCAGCTCCTAGTGACGTTCTTATATATCCCTGCATCCTACTGCAGGCTCTCAGGTGTCAGAGTGACTGCGATACAGTCTCCCTGCCATTATGGGTGTGGCTTCATAATGAGGAGGGTGGGGCCAGTGTGACACGTCACTCACCTGCTGTGGCCATGTTTTGCATGGCATGGCAGCTCGCTAGCGGTCGAAGGTGAGCCAGAATGGAGAGGAACAGAGAAAAGTATTGTGTGTACAGATATGATGAGGCAAGTCAGACGTTGCGAGACTGCCTGGCCCTGGTGGAAGATGGTGCTGTTGTGGGGTCTTCATTTCCTCTTCCATCTTCCCTTCATCTCCTACGAGCCTTGTGTGAGGTGGCCAGAGAGGGGGAGGGGGTGAGGAGGGGAAAGAACATGTGTCTAGAGCTACTGAAGTCCTCGTCTCCTGGCAACGATATCTGGAGATCTCAAGTCATGTGTGTGTTAGCGACGGCATCTCTCCATCTGGGAGAGAGCAGTGAGACCAGAGAGTGGGGGGTGAGGTGAGTCACTATGGTAGGCATTCAACATTATTAGGCTGCAAACTGCACGTTTGATAGTACAGTGAAGTGGTTTATAGTGGCGTTGCTCTACATACAGGTGTCTCGGAGAAGTGGAGAAGATGCTATGTGAGGTAAAAGACAAACAAATCCACCAGCAACTCCACCAACTGAAGGTTAAAACCATTGTAGGTTTTGTATATAGGGGGTAGTTTGTTAGAAGAATTTTCATTCATGAACATTGAAAGGTATTACAGCAGCACTCCCAAATGTTGCTGGCAATAGTAGCCATTGCCAACAGCCACTGGAGGGAAGCCTTACAACTACTGGCGTGTGTCCTGGCCACACCCACTGGACTCTTCAACCACTGTCTCCTCCAGTGTAGAGTGGGTGTGGTCATGGGCGGAGCTGGTGGGTGGCTGGAGAGGCGTGGCAGTACTCCAGTCGGACGGAGTGATGCTAGAGACAAACTCAGACACAGCCAGCAACTGCTCCACACAGTGTATGTGTATCTAGTTAGTGCAACAAGGAGTAATGTGTTTCCTTTAGGACTGGGTTTGAAAGAGATTACATGGCGATGGATATTGCCATGTTGAAGATTTGGTTACAGCACAACAGATGACAGAAATAGTTTTCTAGTGACTCAAAAAGTTCATCATCTTTTCACCCTGTATGACATTTGAGAGAGTCATAATAACATAATCTGGAGCAAGTTGGCAGGCTCACTGACCAGGCAAACTTCTTGCGGGCTTTTTTCTGCCCCGGTTTCTTTCTCTCCACTGCTCTGGGGTCCCGGACCAGTAGCCCCGCCTCCTCCAGCAAGGAGTGGTGGTCTCCTGGGAGACCAGTGAGGGCCTTACTCACTGCCAGTCTTATGGCTCCTGCCTGACCTGCACACGTCATGGGAATCTAGCTGTGAGTCCTTCAACCATCAGACCTCATCAATACTTGGGGAAGACAGTATATACTCTATGCATGCATGTGTGTGTGTGGGTGCGTGCCAAGAGGGGTATGAAGAGTGTACCTGTCTTGCCACCTCCTCTGACTTGAGCATCCACAGCCACACCCCCCAATAGCTCCGTCAGAATCAGTGGAAAGAGAACCTGCTGACGATGTTCCACCTGAGGGAAGTATGAGAGCAGGGGTTCAGAGTTCACTGTGACTCCACCCCCTCCTGCCCCTAGATGAACTACTGCCACAGAGCTCTTCCGCCTCCCTGTGGAGACCACACCCACTGATAAGTGCAGGTGTGGCAGAGGTATTCAGGCTAACCAACGGAGCGGATTTGCCCGTGAGTGTTAGGTTGTGCAGGTTTGGAGGAAGAGGAGTGGGAAAAATGAGGTCTTCTGAATTGGTCCAGGAACTCAGTGGTGGCAGAGGCTCTGGGGTGCCCAGCCAGACGAGCCAGACGAGACACTAGGTCACGGTACTACACAATATAGTCAGAGTACATCCACCGCAACATCTCTCAAGTCAAACCTGAAATTCTGATATTTCCTCTGCCAGTATGTTGGCCAGAACCTTTCTCTTTACCCAGAACTTGGTTGGCCCACTCTCCTCCCTGTCCTCTCTCTGCTCTGGTGGCAGAGTGTTGAGATGGTGTGTCATCTGGTACACCTGGTACACAAGGTTGTGGTAGGCTGGAAACCCAGTGTAGAACGCAGCCTCTAGAGGTCGGCCACTGGCATCAAATGCAGACTCTGAGAAAAAACCAAGAAATCAGTCTGGACGGAGAGACCAAGTATACCTTTCCTTTTGTTAAAGACATGTGAGGGATGCTGCAGAGAGAACTGATATAATGGAAGAGGTAAATAGTGTTTTAGCTGACTTTCATCAGAGGTCGGGCATCTCTGGCTCTCAGTCTGGTTGGCAGCAGGTAGCGAAGAGCCTTCTCGACTTCTCCCTCAGTAAAGTCAACCTCCTCTTGCCCCATCATGGCCGCCAGCTTCCTCCTCCCAAACTCCCATCTCTGGACCTCCCCTGGATGCCAGTTCTCTGCAGGCAAATGTTCTAAGCCACAGCTAACACCAGGAGATTGCGTACAACCTCCGCTTCCGGCAGAGGAAGGCTCCGAGGATGCAGCCTACGGAGGTCTGAAACTGATAACGCGTCTAGCTAGCTAGCCTGAAATACCTTGGAGAGGGGACGTCGTCCAGATAGAGGCAAGAGACCTGTAGCTCTTCTGATGGGCTGCACGCACCCTCCTCGTAGCATATCAGTACGCATACACCACACGCACCCCCAGAGACGGACTACTTTTTACGCGCACCACAACAACCTTTTCTCTAAATAAAGCACACTGGACACGTGGCCGGTGATGGAAGAACAAGGGAGCATGTGTGAGAGTTGTGGGGTGGAGAGAGGACGATACAAGTGTCCTGGGTGTGGAGTACGCTCATGTAGGTGAGTCAGTTACGTCTGCAGTGTAGAATATTGAGAGTTGACATGCAGTGTGCAGTGTGTCAAGAGACACAAGACTGAACGAAGGTGTGAAGGAAAGAGGTCGAACACTAACTATGTGTCTCTTTCAGAGTTCACGACATCCCATTTGCTGAGTGGTAGGTTGTGTTCATGGCTGACTGACACATAGTCTGTGTCTTGTTTCCCAGATTACTACTTTCTGGAAGAGGCGGGGCGCATGATTGACTCTGCCCATCGAGGCCTTCAGAATATTGGGAGAGATACCAGAGAGAGGAGACAGAGGGTGAGAGAAATGTCCGAAACCCTCAGCATATCTTCTCCCCTCTCTCACAGCTGCAAAGAGTGAGGACAGCTGCGAGGAAAAGGGGGATTTCCCTCCAGCTGTGTCCTCAGGGGATGGTGAAACACCAGGCCAACACCTCCTGTACTATATGGAATAAAGACAGGTGGAATGAAACACAGACCATGTGGTAGTATGGAATGAGTGTTCTGCAGGAGAGACTGGGGAATACAGTGGAGGGTGAGACTGGTGTTCCCTCTGGCAGGCCAGGAATTCACCGAGGAGAGGTGCGTATTATTGTAGGGGGTAACAGTTTCATAATAGTCTGTGTACTGTGGTTGTTCCACAGAGTGTGTGAGGACAAGTCATTGGAGGACCTTCTGAAGAGGTATATACATCCTACAGAGAGCAACCCAGTCATAAGGCACAGGTGACCAAACTCCTCTGTTATGATCCTCATAATTATCATTTCCTGGTGCTGGTAGACTTAAGAGATATGTGGGACAGGAGGTGGCAGTATTTCTGAAGGTGGAGAAGACAAACTCGGCCACCTACTGCCAGATACGACCTCAAAAGTTCTCTCAGAGAAAGTCTCAGAGACAGAACAGTCATTGAGTTTCCCGAGTTGCACATCACTCTCTCTTCAGCTCCCACTGATTACCAGGGGTCTCTCCTTCAGCCATCTGATTACCAGGGGTCTCCTGCTGGGGAGCTGCAGGTGTCAAGAGATGCTACCTCGTCTCTTGCAACACTAGCTGCCAACTATGGGAGTAGCAGCGAAGGCAGCGAGACAACTTAGCTATAAACTGGGGTTTTTGCAGTCACTGTATGTTATGATTGGCTTTTGTGGCTCAATATGTATTTTGGGGACAACAATGGCAAGTAGTGGACAACGTACTGCCATGGTCACAATTGAAGTGAATGTGGATGGCACTGTTGGGTGTAATCTAATGCACCAGTTTACACGTAAAATTTGCTCACGAGTGAGCGAGAATTTAATCATGTTGCTTGCCAACCAATAGAAATGTGAAAATTTACAATGTTGACATATAACTAAACATGACTAGTCCAGTTTCGGAAGTCTCTTTATCCTTTCTAGGAAGGTTGGGTGGGTGTGGTGGAAGGCTGAGTAGAGAGAGTCGGCCACAGGGAACGACAGGTTGTCTTTGCTGAGTTTGGTGAGAGCTGATCTCAGAGCTGCCCCCCGGCCCAGCTGACGAGCATAGCCATCAGCTTGGTACTCAAACCTGCGTACCACCTGAACCAGAGCAAACTGCACCGCCTGTTGGGGTAATGGTCAGTTTTGAGAGGTGGCATAAATGAAGGGACTACCTCGTTGTAGGGCATGAAGATGAGCTGGAACACAAGGATAATTCCAATGATGGTGGGCCGGCTGTCATGGAAACCAAAGCTGGAATAGACATCTTGTTGCTCGATAAAGAAAGCAAACATGGAGAGAGAAAGCAGGAGGTTGAGCTGCAGCAGGAAATAGTGCAACCAGTCAGTGTTTACCAGTCAGTGGAGTACTGATATACTGTACCTGGGACACTGCCAGTAGTTTCAGAGTATGGCTGAGAGACCAATGACCCAGCTCATGTGCCAGAACTGCCATAACTTCCTCCTCACTGCAACCCTTCACCTGCGGTTGTGGGGTGACATACAATCTCCTTACTACATATATACCCACCTCACCTTCTGGCCTTCTTTATCAGGAGGTTCTTCCTTTTCCTCCTCTCCCTCTCCCTCCTTCCTCCCCAACAGCCCTGGCTCCAATAGAGTGTCAAAGATGACAATAACCTTATTCCACCAGAACCCATATAAATATGCATTACTATGGGCAGACCTAAGGAAAATGGCATCATCATTACATCATCACATGATCATGTGACCTAAACCTCTTGGAGCCCTCCACCACCTGAATCTTCTTCAGAGGGAAGGAGAGCGAAGAGGTGAGACTGAGGATGCTGGTGTGCAGCGCCCCCTCAGGCAGAGGTGAGAACTTGTCAAAGAGAGGAGCTATGAACTCCTGATACACCGTCACAAACAGCTGGTTGTGACAGAAAATCATAAGCAGGTTTTGATTTTGCTCTCGGGTGTCTTACAAAGGTGATGGCTGCAAGGAAGAGCCAGGAATATATGAAGAATGCTTGGCCACCCAGCTGAATGGTGTAGAGTAGTCCAAGGACAATGGGAGGAACGATTAGTAGCTGGAGAACAAGACTCTTTGTCTGGTCCTTGATAAAGAACACTGGCGTCTAAGGCAAAAGATACTAATTATGACATCATCAGAAACAATGTCATCCCCGACCTGTTTGTTGAAACCATGGCGATCCTCCAGGAAAAAGGTGGAGTAAATACTCCAAGGAAGGCCAGTGAGTGTGGAGTACAGCAATAGGAGCTCCACGAACACCATACTCTGAGAGAGCTGGCCCAGGACTAATTCCCAGACTACATACCCATACCCCCTACCTCATACTCTGGTCCCAGTCCCAGCAGAGAGGCAGTGATCCAGCCAGAGAGACTCCACAGCAAAGGGATACCACCGACTGCTAATATCACCTGCAGGGACATCCAGCCTCCTCAAGAAGCCTTCCTCTAAAGTTAATTAACCAGTAGTTCCGCACAACTCAATCAAGTTGCAATGACCTGATTTTGTCTATTTGTCCTTTGGGAAAGGAAACCTCCGCACAACAAGTGTGAAAGCCATTCCTGTAATAACCCGCTCTTACCATTAGCTCAACCTGCTTGAAAAGATCATGGACGAGGCCGTAAGAGCTCTTGTCCAACTGGTAGACCCGAGACTTATCGAACGTGGACTCGTCAAGCAGAGAGTTCAGCTCAGGAGGCACGTGACTCACGCTGTGGAACACTCGACGCTAGAGAGATATGCGACAGTAGCACGAGGTCTGCACGGCAGACGGTGTACCTGTCTCCATTGCAGGTAGGTATCCCAGAGGTAGAACAGCCACGAGAATACCAGGCACGGTACCAGGTAGTCCATTTTTAAAGTGTGCGCAATGCGCATAAGGTTTCTTTCAATGCGCATGCGCAAACGTTTTGCAGCAGCATGGCAGCCGTGCAACCAGTGCAGCAGCTCTCTCTTGGTATGTTAACATAGACCTGAGCCCTCCTACTCCCATATTCTTTCCTCCCTATTTCCTTTGCATGTATACAGGGAAAAGTACAGAGGCTGGATTCATCCAGTTCTATAATTCTATGCCTGAGGTAAGCAACTTCTGAGCACATTTTCAAAGTTTTCTCACGTAATACACAATATTGCAGAAACCATCTACCACAGTTCGAGTGTTCGACAGGAATGTAAGTGGTATTGGGTTGAGGGAGGTGTGTCAGTGTCTGTGTGTGTAATTTCAGGAGTATTTCACAGTACATGGGGAAGATGCCTCCCTCGCTGCTCGACTGGTGTTCCACACTAGTTCTGCCGTGAAACAACTGGGGTCAGGTGAGAATCTTGTTTTGAAGCTCTCCCTGGACATATTATGACGTACTTGATGAGCTGTTATAGTGCAGTTTGTTAACTCTGTTTCATGGGGCAGAAGGCTCCCTGATGTTTGACCTACATAATTCCATGTCCATTCATCCGCTTTTTTAGTGTAGTCTCATTCCCAGACCTCACGTGCCCCCACACAAGAGAGGGTCTGGTATGTCTGATTTCTTTATTGCATAATTCAACCTATAATTCAACCTGGGAGTCATGTGATTACAGTCGAGCATTTTCGGAAAAGTATTGCACCGCGTGTGCCGTTTCCAATCCCGGTTACGTAGTCTAATACATCTATGCTATGACAGTCACGGCGGGAAAGAAGCCTCAAGTCTCTCTGGGTTGCTGCGCGTACCTTTTTTTGGCTCTGCACTAAACATGTTAGTTACACTGTATACATGGGAACTATGAATCCTCGGGTCGTGTGCATAGTGGCCTCGCTGCACTAGGGGTGCTACAACGCAGAGGTCCTCATCGGGTCGTGTGCATAGTGGCCTCGCTGCACTAGGGGTGCTACAACGCAGAGGTCCTCATCGGGTCGTGTGCATAGTGGCCTCGCTGCACTAGGGGTGCTACAACGCAGAGGTCCTCATCGGGTCGTGTGCATAGTGGCCTCGCTGCACTAGGGGTGCTACAACGCAGAGGTCCTCATCGGGTCGTGTGCATAGTGGCCTCGCTGCACTAGGGGTGCTACAACGCAGAGGTCCTCATCGGGTCGTGTGCATAGTGGCCTCGCTGCACTAGGGGTGCTACAACGCAGAGGTCCTCAGTTTCATTGAAATCCCTTGAACTTAGTAACTGACTGCCTGAATCTTAGAATTGTGTGTCCTTGTTATGCAGGATGTCAGCAGCTACCCTCAGTGGCTCTGAGCAGGATGAACTTTGAGTCGTTCGCCAGAGAGCTGCTCCTGGTCCGTCAGTACCGAGTGGAAGTCTACCGCAATAAAGGGAGAGGAGTCTGGACTGTGGCTTACAAGGTAACCCATGGCAACTGCAAACTGCCAGATGACTGATGCGTGGTTTGTCAGGCATCGCCGGGCAACCTGCAGCAGCTGGAGGAGGTGTTGTTTGGTGGCGGAGCAATCACACACACTGCCGTCACTCTGGCCGTGAGGCTTGCTACTCAAGGGAAACAGGGTGGAAGATTGGTGGGTCTGGCCTATGCTGACCTCAACAATCATGTGCTGGGAGTCACAGAGTTCACGGACAGCGATCAGCTCTCAGAACTTCAAGTCAGTGTTGTAATTAAAATTGACTTGCAAAAGCGATCTTTCCTATGTACATAGTCGTCTGAATGTGGAAGTTTTTATGTACGGGTGTACGGGCACTTCCTCATGCCGTAATGTTATACGTGGCTCTAAATATGCGTGAAACATGCGAAAAATGTAACTGCTGTCTCTTGCAGGCGTGCCTGGTGCAGTTGGGACCAAAGGAGTGTTTGCTGGTGAGTTCTGATCGTCACAGTGACTCCGGTCGGTTGAGGCAGCTGCTGTCTCGCTGTGGACTCCTCATCACTGACAGGAAGAGAAGTTTGCAGTTAGAGAGACAGGGAACTTTGTCCACCTCCCTTCCCCCACAGCTGAGTTCAGCTCGAAGGACATTGTGCAAGATCTTAATAGACTGTTGAAGCTGGAGACTGGGTCCAGCAGTGTAGGGCTGCGTGAGTGCCACTGTCTGCACCTCAGGCACAGGTTGAACCTCCCCCTCTCTCTTCAGCGCAGCTGGACATGAAAGTTGCCATGGAGAGCCTGTCAGCTGTCATTCGGTACATGGAGGTAGGCTGGTGCAGTGAATGTGGACTATTTCACAGACCCTCTTATGGCAGCTGCTCTCTGACGAGGCCAACTTCTCAGTGTACCGTCTACAGACGGTTGACACTGCCAATTACATGCGCCTGGATGGCTCTGCTGCTAAAGCCCTCAGTCTGAACCAGGAGCCTGGCCAGCCACTCTCCACCAGTCTCACTGGTCTCCTCAACCAGTGTATCACTCCCCCTGGCAAACGCCTCCTGCCCCAGTGGCTGAAGCAGCCTCTCCTTGATAAGAAATCAATCGGTGAGCTAGGTAGAGAAAGAGACAGTGGTGGTGAGGTGTGTTGCTTCCTGCAGAGGAAAGGTTGGACCTGGTGGAGGCTCTCTTCTCTGACGTGTATCTGAGGATGAGTCTCCAGTCAGAGCTGCGCCACGTTCCTGACCTCCACCGTCTCTCTCGTCGTTTGGCTTCTCACAAAGCAAGCCTCCAGGTGCAACGTGGGGCTGCTGGAAATTAACTAATTCAGGATGTATTGGAGTTACACCACTGTGGGCTTTCCTGCAGGATTGTGTGAAGGTTTACCAGGCGCTCCAGCGCCTGCCTAATATGGTGTCAGTTCTGAAATCTCATGAGAGTAGCCATGACACCATTGTCAAGGAGGTTCTCATGTCGCCCCTGTCTGAGCTGCAAGCCGAGACTCAGAAACTGGTGGAGTTAGTGAAGACAACTATAGACCTGGATCTGGTGCGACATCACGAGTTTGTCATTAGGTCTTCGTTTGATCCGGGGCTCCAAGGTAACCGCCTTCTCAGAGGTGAGTGAAGTCTGTTAGTTGCCCACAGAGCTGCGGGAGGAGATGGACGAAGTGGAAAAGAAGATGCAAATGGAACTCCAGAAGGTAGCAGAAGAGCTTGGGCTGGACGCAAACAAGACCATAAGACTAGACAGTGCATCACACCTTGGCCACTTCCTCCGAGTCACAAAGAAGGTAAAGAAAGAGTGAATAGAGGTTTGGTGATTTGTGACTGTGGGTGGAACTGGAAGGTGGAGAAGGTACTGCGAGGCCAGCGGAGGTTCTCTATTCTGGAGACCAGGAATGACGGAGTTAGGTTCATCAACTCTCAGCTCCGCTCTCTCAGTGAGCAGTACCGGAGTCTGCGGGAGAGGTACAACACGGTGCAGACCGCCATCGCTGAGGAGGTGCTGGCCATTGCTGGAGGATATGCAGAACCATTGGCAAGCCTTAGTTCTCTCCTGGCCAGGATGGATGTGCTGGTCAGGTCAGTTTCCTCCCTCCCTCCTTTGCTTTCCACATTGTTTTGTTCTTTGCAGCTTTTCTCATGTTTCTGCAAGTGCGCCAACTCCATATGTGCGACCTTCTCTCACAGCTATGGGTGAAGTTGCACCATACATCAACCCTGATTCATCTGCCCTCATTACAGGAGAGGGAAATATTGAACTGAAGGACTGTCGTCATCCGTGTATGGAGCAACAAGATGATATTTCCTTTATCTCCAATGATGTTAGTCTAATTCGAGGTGAGAGCTACTCAGCCCCTCGGTGTTGTCTACTGCGGCTGTGACTACAGGGGAAGACATGTTCCAGATAATAACTGGCCCAAACATGGGTGGCAAATCCACCTACATACGACAGGTTTCTACATTTCTTCCGAGACTAGATCTCGCCAGTTTCTGTTTCCGCTGGATTAGGTGGGTGTGGCGGTGTTGATGGCACAGGTGGGCTGCTTCGTTCCCTGCTCCTCTGCCAGAGTATGTGTGGTGGACCGTATTCTGGCGAGAGTCGGGGCAAGCGACTCGCAGATGAAGGGAATCTCAACATTCATGGCCGAGATGCTGGAAGCCACAGCCATTCTGGATGTGAGTGTCCTCCATGTCTCTCCTGAACTTACTTCCTCTCCTCCGGCAGACAGCCACTAGAAACTCTCTGGTGATTATTGACGAACTTGGCCGAGGAACTTCCACGTATGATGGCTTTGGTCTTGCCTGGGCCATCTCTCAGTAAGTGTCCTGATGTCAATTTGTTCTTTCCTCCTTACCTTCTCCTCAACATCTTCAGTCACATTGCTGCGAAGGTGGAGTGTTTTGGTTTATTTGCCACTCACTTCCATGAAATGACAGCCCTGGCAGACACCGTTGCCACTGTCTCAAATCGTCATGTGACTGCTCTGACAACAGAAGATGCTCTGACTTTGCTGTACCGAGTGAGACTAGGAGTCTGCGACCAGAGCTTTGGTCTGCATGTAGCACAGTTGGCTAAATTCCCACCTAGAGTTGTGGAGGTATGTTACACACCCGCCGGGTGGTGAGGTTTTTAACATTTGTTTTGTGCAGTTTGCACGACAGAAAGCAGAGGAGTTGGAGACGTATTTTTCAGACACTCCACTGACAAAGAGACAGTGCCAATTGGGTGAGGGGGATGGTGGAGAGGGGGTAATGGAGGGAGAAAATGAAGAGGTAGACAAGTTTCTGGCAACTGTTAGCTGTCTTCCTTTGGCTGAGTTAGGGGAGGAAGGTGCTAAGGCCAAACTGAGAGAGCTCGTTACTGAGTTGTCTCAGTCTCCTTCCCCCGAGGTGAAGGCACTTATCAACTCTTGTAACTAGTCATCACTTTTGCCCATGTGTCCACGATCATTTTATCTTTTGAACATTATCATTTGGCTGTGCATCATTATTTGCCTGAATCATTAATTGTTTTCATCGAATGAATGTTGGCGATGTATCAATATTCCCCACTAATGTGGTATTTGGCATGCTCATCTATTGTGCTGGTTGTGGCTATGCCGATGGTGTGGACTGAACTGAACGACAAGAGCGTCCTATATACCGGTCGTATGAATGTCTTTACTTTTACGGGTGAATAGCTGACGGGGTTGCCAGCAGTAAATACGACGATGGGTCAGGCCGGATCTCGAAGAACAGAGATAACGAGAGCTCTGAGGGAGAACGAGCCTACAACGACGGTAGTGGAGCTTGGCGGTGTTCGACTGACAGAGAAGGAAGTCCGGAAGCTCTCGGAGGCTCTGCGACAGAACAGGTGCCTTGGGGCTGGAAAAAGTGGGTGGGTCTAGACGGTCCGCATTACTCGTTGCAGCGTGGTGCAGAAGCTGAGTCTTGCAGGGTGCGAGCTGACGCCTGGCGGCGTGCAACACGTTGCTGGCGTGCTGTGCAACTCTGTCCTCACCTGCAGCATTCGAAGACTCAGCCTCTCTAACAACGACTCGGTAAGCTCTGTGTTTGTTACACTACACATGGCTCTGTGGGATATAATGTACGTAGATCGGTGAACTGGGAGCTCAGTGCTTAGCCAGTGTTTTGGAGACTAACCAAGTATTGGAACATTTGATTCTGAATGGCTGCAGCCTAGGAGATGATGGCTTGGAACCAATTGTAAATGGTAAATTTCAACTATGTAAGTGGTCGGTGCCAGTCGAAATTATTTCACTTTCGGGCAGCATTATGTCGCAACAGAACATTGGGAGTTTGAGCTGGGTCACAATGGACTCACTGACAGGAGTGGGCTACTCCTTGGGGAGTGCCTCAGTTACTTCAAGCTAGAGGGGCTTTCTCTTGGCAGAATGCGGTGGGCCAGCAGGGGCATCAAAGCATGCCATGGTCTACCAGCCAACAAGAGCCGTCTGTGGCTCGCTGGGCAGTACAAGGTGGGGTGGAGGGAGCATGGGCTCTGTCTGAGGCTCTGCAGACCAACAGCTCCATGCTGTGGCTTGGACGGGAGAAATGAGGGGGGGGTGTGGCGGGGACAGATGGAGCGGGGGGCTCTGGGGGACAGAGGAGCCATGCCACCTGCAGGGTATCTGAAGGTAAGCTGTTGGCACCCACCCAGAAACACCTTGGCATTAATTGACCATGGTGCTTTCTGCTACAGAAACAGTGCTGTTTGCATTCTTGCTGGGATACGGGGGGGGGATGAGATTCATAATGAAGGGGGGCTGCTCAACCTTTGCACCTTGCTCTCAGACGTGTGAACGGAGACTGCGCTCCATTGAGTGGTGGGACCCGATTGGTATGGCCAGCAACACTGTGTTCCAGGACTGAAGTATATAATTAAATGTGTTTCTTCAGCTGATGAAGGGAGGAAGAGCTCTAGCAGAGATTGTTGGACACCACCAGACGTGAAAGAAGTGTTACTCTCCAGCAATATTTTAGGTTAAGCCATACTATAGCATTGCGCGCATGTGATTTTCAAGCTGGAGACCTGGGAATGGGCCACAGGAATAAAGCTCTTGCCGATGCATTGTCTCGAAAAATGTCATAATCATTGATCTAGAAATTCTAGATAAGTCTTGATAATGGCATTGTCGCCAAATGTGACAGACCATTATAGGGCAGAAGTACTTTTAAACAGGAGGAAGAGCTGTGGTACCGCTTGGCCTCAGCCTCTGGAGGCACACTGGACGTAGCGATGCCCTCATTGTGGACAACACTTTTGGAGATGAAGGAGGGCAACAACTCAAGGTCGTACTCTGTAGAACCAACAGGTACACTCAAGTTCGGACTTGCATGGGCACCACCATGGATTAGGGACGTGGAGAGAAGAACGCGAGGCTATTATTGCAGTTAATTAATTGATTACACTCTTATAATAGCTGGGGCCTTTTGCAGGGCGGTTTCAGACCTCACAGTACAGCTCCTAAGAAGTTAGGCTCAGGCTTGGGGTTAGAGGAGCTCACCACAGTGCATGCTTGAATA